AGATTCAGCAAGAGCACGTTGCGACGGGAGTAGATTCAGCTGGAGTAGATTCAGCAGGGGTGGATTCAATTGGGGTGGATTCTGCTGGAGTGGATTCAATTGGAGTAGACTCGACTGGGGTGGATTCAACTGGACTAGATTCAGCTGGGGTGGATTCCACTGGAGTAGATTCAACTGGAGTAGATTCAACTGGGGTGGATTCTGATGGGGTGGATTCAGCTGGGGTTGATTCACCAGGGGTGGATTCACCAGGGGTGGATTCAGCTGGAGTAGATTCAACAGGAGTAGATTCAACTGGAGTAGATTCAACTGGAGTAGATTCAGCTGGGGTGGATTCAGCTGGAGTGGATTCAGCTGGGGTGGATTCAGCTGGGGTGGATTCAACAGGAGTAGACTCAGCAGGGGTTGATTCAACTGGAGTAGATTCACCAGGGGTAGATTCAACTGGGGTGGATTCAACTGGGGTGGATTCAGCTGGAGTAGAATCAGCTGGAGTAGATTCAACAGGAGTAGAGTCAGCAGGAGTAGATTCAACAGGAGTAGATTCAGCAGGAGAGGATTCAGCTGGAGTAGATTCAACTGGGGTGGATTCAGCTGGAGTAGTTTCAGCTGGAGTAGACTCAGCTGGGGTTGATTCACCAGGGGTTGATTCACCAGGGGTGGATTCACCAGGGGTAGAATCAGCTGGAGTTGATTCAGCAGGAGTAGACTCAGCAGGAGTAGACTCAGCAGGAGTAGACTCAACTGGGGTGGATTCAACAGGAGTAGATTCAGCTGGGGTTGATTCAACTGGGGTTGATTCAGCAGGAGTAGAATCAACAGGAGTAGACTCAGCAGGAGTAGACTCAGCAGGAGTTGATTCACCAGGGGTGGATTCAACAGGAGTAGAATCAGCTGGAGTTGATTCAGCAGGGGTAGATTCAGCAGGGGTAGATTCAGCTGGAGTAGATTTAGCTGGAGTTGATTCAGCAGGAGTAGACTCAGCAGGAGTAGACTCAACTGGGGTGGATTCAACAGGAGTAGATTCAGCAGGGGTTGATTCAACTGGGGTTGATTCAGCAGGGGTTGATTCAACTGGGGTTGATTCAGCAGGAGTAGAATCAACAGGAGTAGACTCAGCAGGAGTAGACTCAGCAGGAGTTGATTCACCAGGGGTGGATTCAGCTGGACTGGATTCAGCTGGAGTAGACTCAGCAGGAGTAGACTCAGCAGGAGTTGATTCACCAGGGGTGGATTCAGCTGGACTGGATTCAGCTGGACTAGATTCAGCAGGGGTGGATTCAACTGGAGTAGTGTCAGTACTAGTTGATGCTTCAGGATTGATTGATTCTTTAACAGGAGTTTCTTGACCAAATGGGTTGACAAGGTTGTTACGAGCAGCAAGTACATCAACGATATCATCCAAAGCATATTGCGGAGTAGAATCCATAAACCAGTACAGATTCTTGACCCCGGCTTCAGAACAATGGGAAGCGGTCAATCTTGTAGCAGAAATAACATCTTCAGACGGACACTTTTCAGTAATACACAAGGCTAATTCTGAAGAATACGCAGGAACTTGGCAAATACATTTAGTATCTTGCAAAGCGCAAGATTTCTTCAAATTAGTTTGAACAAGGCATGGTTTGGCACATTCCGGATATAAGTCGTAGAGAGATTCAGCAAATGAATTCAATGATGAATCACGACGTTGGTGGTCGCGATTGGTTATTGCCGCACCAATTACAGCTGGAATTGCATATGTGAGTGTAAGGAAAATCTTCATTGTTACTTCCACGATAACTTTTGTAGTAATAAACTAGTTGGGATATGACGAGGTAAGCAGCAGCAAATGATATAATAGATTGTAGTGTATTAAAAATACATGAAATATAATAGTTTCCGAGTGGAATTTAGCCTCAATTTATATTTGTCCAAATCTTCTTAAAGGGATGTCATTTACAAGTAGAGTCTGGGTTTGAACTGGTATGCTAGCTGTATGGCAAAGTCTGTGACTCCTACTGGCCACAAAACTGGAAAAAATTCAACTATTACTGCTAGCAGAATCTTCTGTAAAAAAAGCCACATTAGCGAACATTAGTATCAGCTAGAAGATTATCTATGAGGTAGATAGATAATGACTCTATACTTGCATTTCACTAGATATTTTAGTTTAGCCTTGCTCATGGAATACTTGGCTGGAAGCTAATGCAAGTGAATAGCTATAACATTTTTGTGCAGCTTTAGTATTCATAATCTCACCAATCAAGGAGCTCTATTTCTCTCATCACAATTTGTTAATGAATTAGCTAATGGTACCGAAAGATTTCGAAACTGACCATCGTGAACCAACCACCAAATAACTTTAGGCAAAGCACCAGACACTTGAATCATCTGTGATTATACATTCATTTTATTTTATGAGAATGTTGTTGCATCTTGATTCTATATAATGACGTGTGGCATTCTCACACCACAGTATCCCAAATTGAATCAATGAAATATACTTCATTCATGTTTCTTGACTATTAAGCTATTTGGTAACAAAACCTAATGAACAAGAAAAATGAAAAATTAGAGAAAGGGGGGTGGGGTGGAATAACAATCAATTGATTTTAATCAACTCAGGTAATGGTGAAATGTGGAGTTTATGGGTTTAGTTCGTATGTAGTTGCTCTTCCAATATGTACTCTTTTCTCGCCGGTTTTTTTTTTCTGTATTTTTCCAAGGTTCGTTTATCTTTTTTCGTTTTTCCAATTAGATCTCGATTGCTTTGTTTATTTTGGTTCATGCAGATAAGAATTCAATGCGAAATGGTTACAAAATGACGAAAGAGGAGGAAGAGGAGGAAACGGGAGAAAACACTTTGAGAGCTTAAATAGCCTGATTAAGGTCTATAGTAAGCTGCAGAATCTACTTTCCAATATTTTAATCCATTGTTGTGTACTCAATATATGCTATTCATACCAAACGTGTAGGAGATGGAAAGTCTGAAATTTTTCTGGTTTTCCAAACAGATTAAATAATCTGATTCATGAGTTGCTATCTTTGTTCTTGCAATTAATATCATCATAACAAGTTCTATATTTAACTCCTGTGAAGGTATGAAAAAGGGAACTTGTACATGACCTGGAATTGGACTAATGGTTATGGGCTCGTAATTCATCTCATCATGCAAACATGATTACACTTATGGATTGAACATGCTATCGGATGTATTACTTATCCGTCCCGTATTGAAAATGCGTAAATGAATATTTTAGCAGTGGATTAGATATTTTAGATTAAAAAGAATCGCCCAAAGATCTTTTCTTTCTTTTTGGGATTTAAACTTAGCACTGAAGTTATTTATAGAATTAAAAATAAGATAACAGATACAAGCAAACTAGAATTGAGTATGAACTTCTAACCAGTAAGTACAACTTACGAAGCAATAACCCCAAATTTTAATACCGACAATTCAACCGAAAATAAAAGAAACATCCCAAATTTCATCTGAAGTATCCTCTTGTCATAAAACAAACAAACAAAATAAAAGAAAATCGGAAGTATGCTAATGTCATGCAATCCAGATTTCTATATTACGAGGCTTAAACAATAGTTTCGCTAACTGTTGGTAAATACAATGTGAAGATTGAGAATTCGTAAATCAAGTAAAAGGACACCACCTCCACTTCTCTCTGTTTCTTTCTCCCTAAAAACTCGGCTAATATAATGTAGAAATTACTGTAACTGAAATTCTTTTTTCCAAAAAGTTACACTAAAGTGGTTATGGTGATTTTGCAACTTGTTATATTGGATGATTTTTTTTTTTTTTTTTTTCTAACTGAGCAAATTGCTGTTGAAAAGGTTTATACTTGGAAAGGGGTTGTTTCTAAATTTCTTGTCTGTGAGATCATGGTATGGAAAACTTAGCCATCCTAGCAATTAACTCCTATAAAGTTTTAAGGATAAGTCTTCGAAGCGAATACTGCAAGGTATAAAATTATAGTCTAGTTACTAAATTTAGTATGAGCTCTGTGAAATTTGAGTAGTGACACGACCATCACCATTTCATGCATTAATGATGATATGAAGTACCATTTCTTTATATCACACAATGACCTCAATAGTGCAATTAGATTTTTTTATAACTTTTGCAATTTAAAGGAAAGATAAAGAAAAAGGAATTACGGTTCTTGATTCGTTTCAGGTTATTGCGAAAAGTACATTGTAGATATTACCGACCTTGTCCGATATATATTCTATTTGTGCTTCGTAATTCATGAATTAACTGGTTTATTCTTAATTCATATACGGTGAAATGGAAACGAATAAGTCGTGCGGTACACATACAACATCATCTATAATGGGAACAGAATACGTACAAGAAAAAAATATTACTTGGCCATGATACATCCGAATGTGCAGCTCCTCATGATCTCAGGTTTATTTGCATAATTCGACAATAGTCATGAAATGTAATGTCTAGTAATGAATCATAGAGTTTTTTTTTTAAAAAAAAAACCACGGTTCATGAAGTTTTCATGAAAAATGTTTTGGAGTATCATGTGTAGTTCATATATATCAAGTCCTACTATTTCATATTAATATATTTGATTCATAAATAAATAATTTTTTGGTATAATTACAAATGTCTACACACCATAGTCTAGTATAACAGAAGAATATACTGGTTTTCCCTCTGCTGTATTTCAGTATTATATTTCTACTTTTTATTAATACTATTATTACTATTATTGTTTGCGAATTACCTTAAGTTGAATTTTAATGAATTATCATCCACATATTCTATCAAGTTATTATTACCAAAATAAATAATTTCCAATCGATTGCCCAAATTTAAAATCACAGACTTATATCCATATCGATAAACAGACCAAAGATTGTTGAAGTTTTGATAGTCTAATAATTTGTAATAATCTGTATCCCCACTACCTAATGATACCAGCATCAATTGAAACTCTTTTCTTGTACGATTAGTTTTTTTGATTTTTCTATTCCTTAATGAACTTAATCCAATCGATGAATCCATACGATTTGTTAATTTAGGTAAAGTACTAGTATTCTCCATTATACCAATGATCAGATTAACACAGGTAACCTCATAACCGACAACATTATAAAACCAATTAACTTTTTCATCTGCTGCAGAAAACCCAAGACATCTAATTTCTCGAGGATCTCTTTCAACTCTTAGACAAATGGCCTTTCTCATCTCATCAACTCGGAATGTGTGTACAACAATAACCCCCTCCTCATCATCTCCACTGTCATTTTCATACATGACACTGAAGGAAGAAATCGCAGCACTTCCACAGAATCGACAATGTGTTGGTTGTGGATACGACACTTTTAATGTGTTTGGCTTCATACTTCCAATAACAAACAGCTTAACAACATTACCAGAAATAACATCAATCACCTGACATTCTAATCCATCAACTTTAACAACAAATCCAACAAATTCAACTGCCTGTATGGTTGGTTGGTTTAATGTACTCGAAAGTTCACTTGTTGGGTTGGCCTTTTTGATTGTCAACTGCTTTGATTTTAAATTATTATTCACAATATTGACAACGATAAGATCTGCGCTTGATGTCAAGCACACTATTCGATCAGGTACTCTCGGTGTTCGTATCTTTTTTGCATTAATTAATGATTCCTTGACATCATATCTTTTAATACTACCATCAACACAGGAAACAACAAGAATTTCACCAGTTTGGAACACCATAACATATTCTTCTTTACCCACAGAATTGGTCTTACGTTCTCTTTGTTCTTGACTGTGTGATTTCATTTCAATTGGTGGTGGAGGAGGAGGAAAGTTTGCATTTACCAGTGAATTTACTGATGATAATGATGCATCACTGCCTCTTCTTTTTCTTAACATTTTTCTTGCCAAAAATCCCGGAACAGTACGCTTTCTAAAAAAAGATTCTAATATTTTTGGTTTACTTCTTAATGAGTCTTCCATTTGAATCCATTTGACTTTCATTAGTTTTCTATCGAAACATTTAATAACACCTTTTTTGAAACTCACCAAAATCACAAATCTGCCATCATCATTAATCCCCAAATGGTTAATCGGCCATAAGTCACAAGATAATTCAATTGGATCAGGATCTCCTAATGGGGACCAGTACAAGACTTTATGATCCAAAGATGTCGTTACCAAATGGGAAGTTTTAGGATTAGTTGCAATTCTTAGAATATCCGATGACACAGTCAAGTCTATGGTATTGAATCGTTTCACAGTTTCATTAAATTCCAATTGCTCGGTATTGTAAGTCGGTACAGCTAATCCCAGTACAGCAACAATAAATAATACTAGCAATGAATATTCAATGTAATAGATGCAGGTATTTGAATTTTCAATAGTTATATCCAAACTCATTGGCATGATAATGGTCCAATGGGCTAAAACAACAAGCATGAGTACCAATCCTGATGATACAACAATTATTGGATTACTTCTTCGAGAAACAGTCAACAACTTTAATCCTAACCTATGGGCCAAAGTACCTCTATCACTTTTCATGAGCTTGCTTGAAATTAGGTTTGCCCCTTCTTGTTCTTCTAAGTTTAATGTTTCCTGTTTCAGATCAACGACAAATATTGCTGCAACAAAGGATAACTCGACCAAGTATTCAATAAACATGCAGACCAAAACTTCTTTGGATATCACCGACAATCTATAAGAAATAAATTGTAAATAATCCCCTCTGAAGCAAGTCCATACCAAAATCATACAAATTAACTGCATTCCACAAACTGTAATTGTATTCACAAACAAATTTTTGGTTATTCTTGGTAAACAATAGAAACCAGTGTAATAATCTAACAATCTCTTATGAACATTTGATCCTGGGATTTCCAAGGCTTCAAATAAGTTTGACGAAGATGCTACCATAATGATCAAAAAATAAGTTAATTTAGTAAATGATGTCAGTGGTTCAGTGACCAAATTCCAACTAGCAGCTCCTTCCCAATAAGTTATCAAACTTGTTGATGCCAACCCCGACAAAAACAAACTGATTAACCAACGAGACAAAACTCGAAAATTTGATTTGACTCTGTGACTATTGGCAAGTACCAAGTATAAGTATAATATAAACAGACCAACAAGTATAACAACAATAATGTCACTCGCTAGAAAGAAAAATCTTATCTTTGACACGCCAGTTTGAATAGAAAAATAATCGATAAAATGCTTGGACATTTCCATGACACCTTCCACGGGAATGTCGCCATCATGTATTAGGTAAATTTTTAATGTCTTTGCTGTCTGTATGAAATGATTTGTATAGGTAAGATTATCAAGGAATAAATATGCCAACAAAACATTCATCTCATTAAAGTAACGAACAACTGATCTTTTCAGTTCAAATTTAAGGATCGGTGTTATAATACAATTAGAATACAGACTTAAATGCTGTTTCATTTCCTGTACTTTTGCAAGGTATTGGGGATCTAACACATTCTCTGATTTGAGTATAAGTTTAGTCACATATTTGCCTTGACATATAGTTGGTAACAACGTTATTTTTTCGACTCCATACAAGAATAATGAATTGAGTTGCTTGACCGTGAAATCATATACAATGTTGTAAGATAGTGTGAATATTATAACTAGCGGAACAAGTATATATAGTGTGGGATACCTAAGAAGGAACTTTATATACTCTATTACCAATCGTTTCATCATATGCAGATGGAGATTTGACCTTCGCTCCAAAAAAACGGTTCGTACAATTTTTTTTTTTTCAAGGTTTTTTTTTTTTTTTGACTTCCTATTAGTTCCATTGAATTGAATTGAATTGAATTGAAGTGAGCGGGTAGTGGTGGTGGTGGTGGTGGTGAGCGATGCTTCGGGTTTTTTTTATTGCTCGCACACACACACACACCGTTACTCTGTTAATATTTTCTTAATGTGGGAAGCAATGCTTGTACAGTCGTTGCAGTTTTATTTCGCGCTAGTTTGAGCATAATTTTCAGATCAGTGAGTCAAAATTATTCGCACTATTTGCAAAGAAAAGTTCATATTAAGGCGGTCAATATTTTTGATACTAGTACGCAAAAAATGTTCATATTACGTGACCTCTATTTGTTCATACTGAAAATGTATGATATATGGTATGAACAAAAAAGGGCAGCTAGTTTGAAAGTATTATTTCCGCTGGTGTGAACATTTTGACTCCATTTACTATGAACAATTAATCTCCCTTACTATGAATTAAATTGTCGCACTAGTATTAATAATTTCTTTGAACTTGGTACGAACTGAAAGTAGAAACACTGTATCAGATTTCATCATTCTTGCTCCTTTATTACCAAACAGCTATTTGTGGTTGTAAAATTTTATTTTCTGTTAATTGAATTTACCTCTTGCCCTCATGTTTAATATTATTATTATTACTACTACTGCTACAACTAGTACTACTATAAATACAATTTATTTACCACCTAAAGTAGTTATACTTAAACCTTGCATTTGTACCAACATCTCATCAATCTTACCATCCAAGATCCCATTGGCATAATCATCTCTTGCAGAAGGTTCCAAATATTCCTGTATTTGTGCCAATCTTGAATATCCTTCTGTACAAAATCTCAATTGAATTTTAACTAAAGCTTCAAATGATGGATCATAAAATGGAACTCTTAATGCAATCAATTGTGGCAATTCTGTCTTCAACTGTTCATTTAACTCGTCATATATTTCTTTTGCTAAAGCCAATTCTTTCTCGGATCTTGGCAACTTGGCTGCATCTTTGGCTGGTTTATCAATCAAACGTCTTACCTTGGATTTACATTGTTCATAATCCGTCTTCTTATGGTCTCTTTTTTTGATTGCTTCATCAATTTCTGTGAAATAATTCGCAAATTTAGTCACCGGATCCAAAACAGTTTCTCTGAATGGACCATCCAATTGTTTCACGGTTTCTTCGTCAAATTCTCGAACACATTGTAAATAACATGATCCAACATTGGAATATACCGATTGGGCCCCTTGTTTGGATTCTTCATATAAATTGGAAACAATTTCAGCAATGGTGACTTGGGAATTTGTTATTTGTCTAATGGAATCTAAATACCCCTTTGATGATTTCTGCAAAGCGAGCCCTGCGGTTTTCAAAGTTTTGAATCTTCTTTCTTCAGTATCAAAGTCCTTATCCATGACTTTATCGACACCCTTGACTGTGACAGAAGCCCCAGCACGGTTAATTGCTTTCTTAAATCCTCCCCAGGACATCGTTGATTAATTGAACAAGTAGGTAATGTAGATACGGGAATTCAGGGAAAGTGCGAATGAAATTGTAAGTATAGGGAAAAACTGGATAATAGGTAAAAAAAAAAAAAAAAAAAAAAAAAAAAAAAAACCTGACGAACTGTGAGATTTTGTTTCACTGCTGACAAAACATTAGGAGGCGCACACTACTATTCTCGTGACTTGAAAAAAAAAGTGATTACGTAATAAATCGACAATCACCTAAAAGGTCAAAAAAAAGTTCCCTTCGTTTGTTTGATTTTTTTTTTTTTTTTACAACCCAAACTTAAATATCAAGACAGATCAAAATCATCAAGATCAATTTACCCATTCTTCATATGTCATCAATCGAATCTCCACAAGAATCATCATCACAACTTACTGAACAACAAAAGATTGAGAAAATCCTTGAACTTAAAGCCAAGATTAATTCGTTGATTTCCAACATTAGAGATTCTAAAGTAGTTTGTGATAAATACGAAAGTGATATACAGTATTTCCAAGAATACATTGGACTGTTATTACAAAAGGAGAAATAAGATAATCAGCTTAAACAAAATGGATAAGGAATCAGAATATCCTTATAAACTAGAATCAATTTCAATCCCTTTTACAAGAGTTGACACGAATGTATATGAGAATTCGCCGAATGCTATTCAACAATCACACAGTATTATACGTACGAATTTTGAAACAAATAGAGAAGTTAGCAACTCAAGTAATGATGAGTTCTATGAAGCTTCTCCTGTTCTAGAAGAAGCGTTATATTTCCCTAGCTTATTAGAAGAATCAAATTATCCTACGGTGACAGTGAAAGTTGAACCACATATGACTAAACCTTTGGTAAATGGCCCATTGGATTTGCTGGGAATAATCAACACATCATCAACATCAAAACCACGAGTTTTCCCACTTGCTACAGAAATCGAGAATAAGGATGAATTGACCTTACTTAGAGTTATGGAATATGAGATGGACGACGCTATCCAGAAGAATGCTACAGGTTGGTTTTCTTGGTTTTTCCCCAAAGATACATGGAGAGACTTGCTAATTAATGGTGGTGATTCGGATGAGGAGCTGGAAACATCTACAGAATTTGCACAGAATGAAGTATACTTAGATCAAATATTCACTGAGATATATAATCTTTAGTAATTTCTTGCCAATTAGCATTTTTTGTAGAAGCAACATATAATGAACATGCGGTCCAACAGCCCACGCCGTCTTTCGTATTGACGATATTCTCTCTCAAAGTTTTCCTGATATCAATATCACTTTTAAGTATAATAGTATCAATTGGTTCATCTATATCATATTCTCCAATGATTCGTAGGTCAATCACTTTATGTATGGTGCTCCATTCTTTATTCACAATCAATGCATCACGTCTATTACTTCCAATAGTATATAAAAGTGGAGCTGGGATGAATGTTATTGACTTAATTCTATATTTGAATAAACTTGTGCAAATATTATTTTTTAATTTTTGAGAAAATCCATAATCTATCAAAAAACATCGTTTTATATTTACTGGAATTGAATCAATTGCATCGAATAATAATTTTTGTAAAATCATAGGTGATATTAATTCAATATCTATCCAAGTTCCTAATGATTCATTATATTGTTGTAATTTAATTTGATTACTTTCATCAAGTTGAGAAATGATGGATTGATATTGATCTTTTGTTAATGAATGATCTGATAAATAATTTGATTCACCTGTGTGTTTATATGATATAGGTATAATTATAGGATCTAGTTCTTCTACTGTTCCAATTCGTATCTCACGTTTCCCTATTTCAAGAACCACATCCATTACGAAAATGTTATACAGTAGGTAGAAAAATGTAATCGTATATATGTGTGTGTATATGTATATAATTTTTTTTTCTTTAGTTCTTGTCTATTTACGTACCCGCGACACTTTTAAGCTTACAACAAATCCAAATCGTCTTCATCGATATCCATGAAATCTGCCTCTTCGACTTCTTCAACTTTCTTAAATTGTTTTTGGTATTCTTCCAATTGTTCAAGATTCCACACAGACACACCTTCTTGATCTTTTGGATTACTTGGTTGTGCCAAACTTCGTAAAAACTTTTTCCCTGTAGCAAGTGCCATATCAGTTGACAAGTTTGTATCTGAATCATTCAAAGCTTGAGCTATCCATTTAGGCAATTGATTCTTTTTCCTTGAAAATCTTCTATCTGCTAAAACCATAATACCATAATCATCTTTCCCTCTTAAAACTCTACCTAAACATTGGGCAGCATGTCTCATAGCATCGAAAGATAAGAAATCATTCTCTTTGATCAGGAAATGATCCCTCATGAACTCTAAACGTGCCTTTAATATTCTTGATTCAGTATATTGGAAAGGAATACCAATCATCAATACTGTTCTACCATAATGATGATCAAAATCAATTCCTTCAGATACTTTACCACGAGCAACAGACAACAAGACCGCACCTCTACCATTAGAACATGCTTTTCTATATGTTTCCAAAGCCAATGAGGTTTCTTGTGCATCAGGAGTTTCCACAAGAATTAATTTATGTTTCCAAACTTCATCCAAGACCCCCATATTCTGCCACATGGAAATGATGGATTCCATATATAGATACGACGGAAAGAATACAACCATTCCATCAGGAGTGATTTTGGCAAATTCAACCAATAATGACCCATAGTTACGAACCACTGAAGGATCGTTACGGATCTCAAAACGGGATGATATAGACACTTGATCTGATCCTTTGGTCACAATCATTGGTAAGAATGATCTTCTTGCCAAAGTCATGGAATAGGACTGTTGAATCACTGTTTGGAAATTCATCATCTTTGGATACATATCCAAAGGAGAAATGGTACCAGAAGTGATAATAACTGAAGAAAATCTCTCAAAGACTGGCTTGATAGCAATAGAGGCATCTAAACAAGTAAAATGCAATATTGGATTAGGAACGGTACTTCCTTCTGTTTCATATGGTTCTAAAATCAACTGAAAACCAGTGTCATATGTAGATACCAAAGTGGCAAATGTGGCAATATCTTTTAATGCATTGAAATCTTCAACTTCTGACAATTCCAAAGTCCTTACCAATAACGATAAACGTTCTGAACAAAATCTTAATGGTTTTCTTTCAATATATGTCAAATCTTTCAAATGTTGTAAAAAACTAGTAGGGGTTTCACTGATAACATGTAAAACCTTCATTCTTGTTTTCAAATACTCCACAAATCTCTTCAAGAATGCAATAAAATGCTCACCCTTTCGAATATTACCGGGAATAGCTTCATCAAGTAAATCTTGAGGCAATACCGGATTAGCCATAAACAACTCTTGATCTCTAGCAATTTCTGCTTGTCTCAAACCCTCCACCAATTGCTCGTATTCGTTTTGTAGTTTTTCACTATCTTGACTCTTCATCTCCTCAATAGCTTCTCCTAGTTTATTTGCACCACGAGTAGCTCGTTTCAATGTGTCTTCAGTTAGGTCTAGCGACAACGACTCGATACAAACGTTATCGATGTTATGTGCTTCATCAAAAATAATGATACTATCTTTAGATAATTCTTTTGAAACACGTTCTGCAATTTTTGGATCCAATAAATAATGATATGAATAAATGATAATATTACAAAATGGAATCATTCTTCTCACAGTAAAATAAGGACACGTTCCTTCATCTTTACAATATCTCAACAATGCATCAAATGAGTAAACTCCAGGGGGGATTAAATTATGTGGCTCATAATCATACAACTTTTCGTGGTACGAACATAAACTATTGGTTTCTGGATTAAGCAACTGATCTTCTTCAGTTACGATTCCTTTTTCTATTTTCGACTTCAATTGACCGTTGGTAATTCTTCGACATTTTTCATCGACAACAACACCTTTTCTTTCTTTAGATATAGTTGGGTGTAAACATAAATTCTTTCTACTTGTCAATCCCAAACCTCTGAAATCTTCCACTTCTCCAAGCTCATTAGCACGATATTCCATCAACTTGTGTAATTCAATTAATGCCTTTTCGATTTCTGACATGGTACGGGAACAATAAACAATCTTTCTATGTTCTGGATAATGCATCTGGTATGCGACAGTCAATGACAATAATGATACAGTTTTACCTGTTCCTGACGGCATCTCTAGTATACAATTGCCACCAACATCCAATGTCTTTTTAATATCACACATATACGCATATTGTTCAGGGTATATTCTTGGATAAGGAAACAATACTGGCAAGTCATCAATATAAAACTTCATTATTTCTTGCTGACTAAAAAAGGGAGATGTATTTGATATTTCAGAACTGATCACACTGATTAATTTTTTTTTTTTTTTGCTTGTTTAATTCTCGGTTCGTCTCATTTTGTCTGCCCATCAACACTTGAACCAGTACGGTGCATGAGTTATAGTCTGTTCCACAACTAAAATTACAATTCTATATTCATTCTAAGTAAATCTATTTACAATCAAATTCTCTAATTTAGGATAAATAATATCAGAAGTGTTTCCACTGACAGTGAATAGCACACCTTGTTTCTTGTAAAACTCTTTCAATGGACCTATTTCTTCATTGTATTTATCTAATCTTTTTTGAAACACTTCAGCAGTATCATCAGCTCTTTTAGTCAAGGGTTCCCCGGTTACATCATCCTTGAATGGAACCTTAGGAGGGTTATAATCCAAACTATATATTCTTCCACTTGGTACATGGACCCATCTTGCTTCGATTCTGTCCAAAATGACTTTTTGATCAACATCCAATTCAACTACCAAATTTAAATCAGCAGATTTGCCAATGATTTTGCTAAGTTCCGTAGCTTGGTTGATTGTTCTTGGAAATCCATCTAATAACCAGTTTGATTGTTGGTTCAACCAATTATTCTGTCGTAATTGTTCAGTGATTAACCCCACCATAGTGCTATCTGGAACCAAACCACCATTTTTAATATATTTCTCTGCTTCTTTTCCAATTGCCGTACCTTGACTTATCTGTGCACGTAAAACATCACCGGAAGATAAAGCTTTCAATTGGGTAAATTTCTTTAATAATCTCGAGGTCTGAGTCCCTTTACCAGATCCAGGAGCACCTAAAAGTAAAATTCGAAGTGGATTCATAATATTCAAAAGATAATAATATTCAAAAGATCAACAAAACATATAAGTTAAAAAATAAAAAGAAGAAGAATTATTCAAAAGATAGATAAATAAATAATATTTATAATCTAGATACAAGTTGTGGTGGTAGTGGAGAAACGGAGGGAAAAAAAAAATTAGTTGTCCCGTTCTGCACTGTAATTTTTTTTTTTTTTTTTTATACTTCTCCCGCCCACGGTCACGGGCTATACCTTCCGTTAATCCTTTTACATGGAATTTCAACTTGTAACAATATTAGTACATGTGCATTTTTTTGTATATAATTATTCAGTTGGTTAATACTACTTATTCTTCGTCTGAATCTATAATTCTTCTTCTCTTTCTTATTCTTTCGTCTTCATCATCAGGTTCTTGAGATGGGGTTCTGTATTTAGCAGCACCTTCCTCCTTGACTTTTCTTAGTCTTTCAGCACCCTTTTCAAATTCTTCTTCATCAGCGTCCTCATCCTCGTCATCGTCATCAAATAGTTCAATTTCCTCCTCATCGGCAGCGACAAAACCATCTCCACCATAACCATCATCATCGTCTTCTTCGTACTTCTCGGAATAAACTTCATAAGATGAACCTTGGTTCTTAAATCCTGGACTTGCACTTCTTTCCCATTTTTCATCTTGTAATCTTCTTTTGGATTCCAATTGTCTTTTCAATTTCATGGCTTTACGGGCATTCTCATCAGCGATTCTCTGTTTCTCCAATGGATCTACATCCGTTATAGTATTCAAGATCTTTTCCTTCTTGGTAATGTTCTTCACCAAAATTTTTCTATGAGCTGATGAAGCAGGTAATAGATTCATGGTTTTGGAAATGATTGAGTCTGATTGTAATATTTCAGCAGTTTCATAACTTCTAACTAACATGTGATCATACAATGGCAATTCTCTGACATCGTAAATTTCATTACCCACTTTCAAAGACACAGATCCATCATTCCATGCAACGAAATGGGCATTTGATTGTTTGATAATATCATCATTTCCAGCATTATGATACCTCCATCGAATAGTATTTTCATTTAATAATTTTTCGGTGATTTGTTCATTATGAATTTCTTTGGCTGTTAACCCTTTAGATTTTCTGGCGTTTTGGTTTTCTTCAATTTGTTCTTTAAATGCAGTTGGATCAAATGGATGTGCTTCCAAATTTAAAAAATCAGGTGTTTTTAATAAGCTGACATCTTTTTCCATATGCTGTGTTATGGCATGACGTGGCAACGATATATCGATGAATTGTTTTGTTGTTTCCGATTCTTCATCATCTTCATCATCGTCTTCATCTCGATCATCGACTTCTTCATTATCACTTTTAACTGGTGATTCTTCTACTTTATCTTCATTATCATCTCCATCTCCAAATAAGTCATCTAATTCTTCTTCGACTTCATTTTGATTTATATTTTCTTCATCTGACATCGTATAGTTTATTACTGTTGTTGTTGTAGCCTAAATGCTCAGGTTTTTCAGTATTTTTTTTTTCTCGTTCGTTTTTTTTTTTTCGAGTTGAATTTCAATATATTGTTGAACCAGTAAGAGATACAGTACAGACTTGGAAGGAAGAATAAAAGAGTGTACTCTTCATATCAGTATCATTTTTTTTAAATTGTTAGATGAAATTAATGGATGTATTATCTATATGATTTTAAGTGAGTGACGTTCTTTACTATAGTCATGGTAATAGTTTTCGAAAATACTGTTAGTCAGTTTTTGATCGGTGTACACGACCAATCATGTAGTACTTTAGCCTGGCCCACAATAATCAAATTGTTATTGGTTTTTCTCCTTGTACTGGCAATAGCATCTTATTGCATGAAATTAGATATTATTATTTGGTTTATATTTTCCCAAACCGTAGTTTTCATCTAAGCTAAATCGATCTTTATTATTTTTTTTATTTTTTTTTTACAATTTTGCAGTATAACTTTACTAAAAATCAGATTGCAAAAAATTACTATTATATACCGGTGAATGTGAAAAAAATCACCACATCAATCTACTTTACAAATATAGACATAGCTGTACTCCACATTATTTAAAATACTCCCTCACTATATATAAACGTTTATAGATAGATAGAGATACTATCCGCTTTCCATCAAGCGAAGCTTGCTATACTGGTTATCTTAGTTTGTTTCTTTCTGTTTTCGCAACCTTTGCCACATCATATTGTTTTGTTGAATAGTGTTCTCCGCTTTGCACATGATAATTTGGGAAAACTCCGTGATTTGCGATTCACTTTGCTCTTTCTACTCTACATTATTCATACCCCATTATTGCATTTCAGTTGAGGGGTTGATATCGTATAATTTGGTATGTTGAACTATAAGTATCAGTTCAAGTTCTACATAAGTATTATTTCTCTTTTACTATCCAAAATAACTTTATATTCATTCATCAAAAACCTTTTACACCGTGATGTATCAATTATTTTGTTTTCTTGCTGGTATAATTGTTGTATATAAAGCAGCACAATACTACAAGAGAAGGACACTTGTGACTAAATTTCATTGCAAACAAGCACGTATTTCCCCAAACAAGTCATGGTTGGAATATTTAGGCATTGCCTCCGTTGTACATGCCAATGAAATGATTAGAAAAGGAGGATTGTATTCAGAAATTGATGGAAGATTTAAATCCCTTGATGTTTCAACATTCAAGTCTATAACTTTGGGAAAGACAACGTATGTTACCAAAGATATTGAAAACATCCGTCATATCTTGAGTGCAACGGAAATGAACTCATGGAATCTTGGTGCCCGTCCAATTGCGTTAAGACCCTTGATTGGTGATGGAATTTTTGCTAGTGAAGGTCAATCTTGGAAACATAGTCGAATCATGCTTAGACCAGTATTTGCAAAAGAACACGTTAAACAAATCACTTCAATGGAACCATATGTACAACTGTTGATCAAAATCATCAAGAACCATGAAGGGGAACCATTAGAGTTTCAAACCTTAGCCCATCTTTTTACAATAGATTATTCTACTGATTTCCTATTAGGTGAAAGTTGTGATAGTTTGAAGGATTTCCTAGGAGAAGAGTCCAATTCCACATTAGATACATCGTTGAGACTGGCATTTGCATCACAGTTTAATAAAACCCAGCAGCAAATGACAATTCGATTCATGTTGGGAAAATTGGCCTTTCTCATGTATCCAAAGAGTTTTCAAAATAGTATTCAAATGCAAAAGGACTTTGTTGATGAATATATCGACAGAGTAGTAGGTATGTCCGAAGAAGAATTGAACAATCATCCAAAGAGCTATGTTTTGTTGTACCAATTAGCAAGACAAACTAAGAATCGTGATATATTACAAGATGAATTGATGTCCATTTTACTTGCAGGTAGAGACACCACTGCCAGTTTGTTGACTTTTTTGTTTTTCGAATTAAGTCACCATCCAGAAGTATTTAACAAATTAAAAGAGGAAATCGAAAGACACTTTCCTGATGTTGAATCCGTTACATTTGGAACTATCCAGAGATGCGACTATCTTCAATGGTGTATTAACGAAACTATGAGACTCCATCCATCAGTTCCTTTTAATTTCAGAACTGCAGCCAATGACACAGTAATACCAAGAGGTGGAGGTAAATCCTGTACAGATCCTATTCTTGTCCATAAGGGTGAACAAGTATTATTCAGTTTCTATTCTGTAAACAGAGAAGAAAAGTATTTTGGTACAAATACCGACAAGTTTGCTCCAGAAAGATGGAGTGAATCATTAAGGAGAACTGAGTTCATACCATTTTCTGCTGGACCTCGTGCCTGTTTGGGTCAACAGTTAGCTAGAGTTGAAGCTTCATATGTTACTATTAGATTGCTTCAAACCTTTCATGGGTTGCATAATGCCAGTAAACAATACCCACCAAATAGAGTGGTTGCAGCTACAATGAGATTGACTGACGGTTGTAACGTTTGTTTTATCTAGTTTATATGAATATAATAGGATTTGAAATTTTTCTTAGTATCGAATAGTTTTGTAGTACCTCCGGTCATCGCTCATGTTGTAACTAATAATATTTTTCCATTATATTATCCTCTATGTACAATACAGAAGAGAAGCTATTTACAATATACTTTTAATGTCTCTTGATGAAACCAGAAGAAACACTTTCCTTTCTCTTTTTAGTGATTTCAAGTTTTCTGTTTGTTTCAGCAGTTTGTTTTAAGGCCTTTTGTTTACTGTCATCGATATACTTTCCAATCATTTCTTTAACAGATTGGTTGGCTTTTGGATTATTAGCTTGAAGTTGTTGAATGGTCAATTTTGGTGGCATTCCAAGAGCTTTTCTGAAAAAGCTACTCTTGAAGATCAAACTTTGAATCAAAGACAACACTGAATTGGCAGCGAAATAAACCATAACACATGCAGCAAAATTTTTGGTAATAACAATGGAAGCCAATGGTAAGACATACATTAATTTTTGCATGCCTTTAGCCATAGTTGCTTGACCGGTTTCACCACCCATTCTAACAATGCTCATAATTGCAAGACATGAAATAGCATGTAATCCCAAATATGGATCAACTTCAATCAAATTTTGGAACCATGCATAACCTTGATCACTGAATCCTTCAACATTAGCATTAGCCATTTTTCTTAAAGCTTGGAAGAACCCATAAGCAAATGGAATTTGTACAAGTGGGTAAACTGATGCAAGCATAGAAACGTCATGCTTCTTCATCAATTTTCTTCTCTTTTCCATAGCTTTCATTTGTTCGGCTTGTCCACCAGCTTTGATTTCATCCATAATAGCTTCCATTTCAGGTTTAATCTTGGACATCTTGGTGGCATTAGCAGAAGCTTTTACGTATAATGGGAATATAAAAATTCTAATAGCCACAGCAGCGGTTATAATAGTACCCCACCATGGTAATCCAGTATATACATGAGTGAATTCCAATAATCTTTCAATTATTGAAGTTGGACCCCATCCTTGTGCTAAGCCGATCGATTGTAAATAACCCAACTGATCTGAATGTAAATTTGTGACATGTTCAGCAATTCCAGAAACAGCACTAGAATCATCAAAAGAAGTTAATTTGTCTGAAATTTCAACAGCTGCTGTTGTCGCTGAAGAAGATGAGGAGTTGAATCTGATTGATGAAATTGGTAATGTTGAGGAACGAAGAACAAATGTTGCGGGACGGATATTCTGACATGAACCCTTCAATGTCGATACCCTAAGGGAACGGGACAATCCAAGTCTAAGCATTCTTATAGTCTAGAAGGTTATGAAAAGAAAAAGAAAGGACTTGTATCTTAAGAACTGGAGAATGAACCAACAACAACAACAAGATGAAAAAAAAAACGAAAAAAAAAACTCGCAAAGAGAAAAATAAATTCTAAAGTTCGTGTGGATTGGTTAATATCAACATTTTCATCTCTGTCCGATTTTTCATATATATTTTTTTCATTCCTGTTATAAACAAGCCAGTTCACCCCGAATACAACAGATAGATCAGGTCAAACTTGTTCTTGAAAATAGTTAAACAATGTATAGACGGATACTACCTGCAATACGGTGTATGCGGTATTACTCACAAATTCCCGTTTCCCAAATATTGTCCACTCCCATTACTTATAAATCAATTCAAAAAATCATCCCATATTTTGTAAAATTATCAATAGAGGAACAAGATAAATTGATTGCAACCAATCCCAAACTTATAAATATCCAATTACAATTGTTGTTATGTTTTGAACCTACTTCCAAGAATATTTTTAAATTTATATCTGACAATAGTAAACATGTACAAGTTGAATTGGCGGAAACTTATATCTATAATCTACTAGTATCGAATAATTTGAAAGCAGCAACCGCTTTGTTGCATAAACTACTAAACGAGAACAAAGAGTTCCAACTATCCAACGAACTATGGTCATATTACATGGATGTTGTTTGTCGTAATGGGGATCACCTAGGAGCAATGTTGGTTTATCACGAGTTGATTGATAATGTAAAGTTTTATGATGAAATTACATATCTAGTACAGACAAATAACTTGATACCATTCTTAGTGAATACAACTACTTTGGAATGCTTAGCAACAATCTTTAAGAACAATAAAGATCCATCCCGAATAGATGGTATTCTACAGTATTTCCGTCGCTTTTATTCCTATCATCAATATCAATATTTATACAAAGCTTTGTTGATTTTACGTGTTGAATGTTATTCTAGTATGAATAACCTACCACAAAGTTTGAAATGTTTTAAAAATTTGGCTTTTGCTCATAATCAAACTGATATCCAAGGTAAGAAAGCTGTTTCTGCAGTTGTAGAAAATATCCAAACCAGGAAAGAAAATATTGAAAATAATGAAAATTCAATCGATTATCAAGATTCAAAACATAATTTAGATATTCATCAAAATTTATTGGCTAATATTTGTCAAACTGAATTGTTCAGTCCATTAATGCATAGAAATGTTTATTCTTCAAAAAAAATGGGAGGACCAGTTCCAGTCATTAATGGATCAGTGTTTAGAGATGAATTACCAAATTTTGAACAATTAATAACTGAACATGTATCACAAATGGATATGCGTGAAATATTACATTTAACCAAAAGTTCCCATTTATTAATTCATATTTTCATAGTGTCTGCTTTATGTAATGTTGGGAAACCAGAAACGGCATTACTGTATTTAAAAACACTTTCACATATTTTTCCAAACAAAACAAAGAAACATTTAATCAAGAATCAAAATTTTATAAGAATTTTAACCTCAACAACAAATATTGATTTTGCAACAGAAGTTTTAAATTTCTGCCGAAGTAGTCAAAATGATCATGTTGATAGTAGGGTAATGAAGGCATATGTTCAAGTGTTATTGCTGAATAATAAGTCATCATGGAGTGATTTACAACAACCGCTTGCAGCCATTGAAAAATCAAAGAACAACAATTTGACATTGACTAAAGAGCAATATGAAAGGTTACAAAAAATCACCGAACATACCAATAATAGTTACAATTTTATTCATGTACATAATTAACTAATTTACAACATAATGATGATAAAGAAAATACGTCTCTCTCTTCTAATCTTTTCTTGGGTCTGTCATTCTATGGATTTTGACACCCTTGTCGTCTAATTCACCAACAACTGCGATATCTTGTGGAGTAATGAATATGTTTTGTGATTTTGGATATCTCTTTAATTCTTTCAACAACAACTTTATACTAATTGAACGGTTAACAGAATCCATATAAACATCAAATTCATCCAAACCTCTAATACGGGAATTCATGACCTTCCAAATAGACAACAACAACGAAATTTGAGAGAACGACTTTTCACCACCAGATAAAGATTCCACAGTACGTTTTCCTGATTCATTACCAGTGTTAACTTGCAATTTTAATGTCTTTTCATTGAAATCAAACTTCAATGTCCCTTGGAAACCTCTCAATTGCATGGCCTTTTCAAATGTTCGTTGTGCATCACCAATAGATGAACGGATAGTTGTATTCAAAAAACGCAATCTAATATTCATCTCACTACTCAAATTTCTTGCTGTTGAAGTTACCATAGCCAATACCTCTTCAGCTTTATCACTTTCTTGTTTTGCCTTTTCTACTTGTACTAAAACTTCTTCAAGCGAACTTCCAATTTCTTGTTCGGCCTTTTCTAACTCATGTGAAGTTTCTTGGAAATCTCTGGTAATCGACTCCAGAGTGTCTTGAGGGGAGATAGTAACTTCATCTCGAGAACAGTATTCTTCTGCTGCTGTTATTGCACTTGCTAATTTTTCATGACCATCTTTACATACTGCTTCTGCTGCTTTTATTTGCTCCTTCATATTTGTTCGATCATACAAAATATTATTCTTGGTTTCTTTGATCTTTTCTATCTCATACTCAACATTGATTAATTTTCTCTTTATTTTAGCTCGAACAGCATCAATACTTTTGTACCCTTCTTTACATTCGGCAATTTTTTCATTCGTTGAACTACGCTTTTCGTCGATGGTTTTAAGATTCTCAATTAATGATTCATTCAACGCCGTTAATCTTGCAATTTGATTCTTATTTTCTTCAATACGAGTTTGCCATGAACTGATTCTAGAATAGTCCACTTCTTTATCTAATTGATCTTCCAAGTCACTTCTAGCTCTCTTCAATCTTTCCAATGTTTCGGTTATTTCACGCATTTGTGAAATTAGGTGTTCCTTCTTTGCTTCACTTTTCATTTTCAATCCTCTTAATTTTCTATCCAAATCTTTGAAATTTGTATTCTCTTCATCAATTTGACGTTGTAAATCAGCAATTAAGGAAGCTTTACTAGCAGCACCAAATTTAGCCATAGTAGTTGCATAATAAACTGGATCCTGACGGAAAGTATTGTTTTGAAAACTGATTCTATGACCCGAATCCTTCCTAAAAAGAACCAAACTTTGGAATACGTTTCTCTTTTTACAAGCCTCTCTTGCATCTTTGGTGGAGTGAGATATGACGGTTTTTTCAATGGAGTTACTATCAATCAATGTATACAAAACAGTATCAGATTGAACGTGTAACATATCAAGCACAGATTTACAGCTTGGATCAGCTTTACCAGCTTCATAATTCAATCGTTCTGTACGTCTAACAAAAATATTGGCACGAACACCATATCTTTTAAGCATTTGGTCTAATCTGTATCTATCTGATTCATTAGTGACAATAAATGCATCCAAGGATTTACCCAAGACCGTGGACAACAAAGGTTTCCATTCTGTGAATTCAGATTTCACCTGGACATAACTACCTGCTGGACCTATTGGTTCACTATTCCAATCAGTACGGCTCTTTATAGCTCTTACCAATTCGTGCATTTTGTTTCCCCAAGGCGCATACTGTGAAGAGCTTTCCATTTGTAATGCACTTTTTTGTTGGTCCAAGTCCTTCAATCTAGAGTTTGAATCGTCATACTCTCTAGTGAGAGCAATCACTTCAGGATCGCGTCTGTCTTTGAGCTCATTGTATTGGAGCTTCAATTGAGTTCTTCTATTTTCAGTTTCGTTAATTTCTTTTTTAACATTTTCCAAGTTTTCATTCAAAGTTTCTCTGCTTCCACCTTGAAGTTCATCAATTTTTCTTTGTTCTATTCTAATCAGCTTTTCGGTATTTTTGATTTCGTTCTCTAAATTTTTGATTTCCCCAATATTCTTTTGTGTTTCAGCTTTATTCACATCTAATTCTGATTTCAATTCGGAACGTTTTGCTCGTAGAGTATCAAGCTCGGTGGATTTCTCTGTCAATTTTGCTTCTTCTTGGTGCAATTCTTCAACAAGTGATTCTCTTTTGGGAAGCAAAGCAGTTGTATTTGCATCACATTCTTCAAGTTGATTCTGGAATTCTTGTACCTTCTGTTGAAGGATTGCAACCTCTTTTTCCTTTCTCTTAATCACTCTTTCAATACTGACAACATTAAACCAATGAATTTTTGCACTCAAAACTTGCAATCTATTTCTCAACGCATCGTTTGTTCTGTGACGATTGTGGATCTTTACAATTGCTTTATATTCCTTTTTTGCCTTTAGTGCAATCGCAGCTGCATTCTGAATTTTACCTTCTAATTCTTGAACACTATTAGCAGATTCACTATAATTGTTGAGAATATCGGTAATAAATGCACCATCCATGAAAAATTCATATTTGTCTTTGTCACTGGAGGAGGTTAAAAACTCTCTAGCTTTATCTTGTGATAAAAACGCAAGTGGGTTATCAACTGTGATGGAAAATTTATAAAGCATCTCATCCAAATCACTCTTCTTATGTGAAACAGTCTTACCATTAGATGTTTTTAAGGAATATGAATTACCACCTTGTCTTTGTAACTTTCTCTCCACAATGATTTTATTTCCATACACATTAGGTTTATAAGCATCAGGACCTTCATTTTTAAATACAATCGTGATTCTAGAAACGGACTTTCCATCCTTGATCAAATCCTTAATTGAACTACCTCTATTAGTATCAGTTGCTTTAGCTCCCAATCCCACAGAAATACCAGTTAAAACTGCACTCTTACCAGACCCATTTCTCCCAATGATAAAATTAAGTTGTGGCCCCAACTCTAATTCAAATGAATCGTGACACATAAAATTTTTCAAGGATAATTTTTCAATAACACCTGCTTGGGCTGGTGCCGAGCTTGAATTAGGGTCATCTTCATCTTCATCATCTTCATCTTCATCTTCAGAATCTTCTTCAGACTCAGACTCAGATCCAGATTCTGAACCAGATGATGCGTCAGATTCAATCTCATTATCATGACCATTCTGAATTCTGCCGTTTGGAGCTTGAGTCATCATTCTTGGCTTCTTTCTTGTTGAAGAAGACTGCAATAATTGTGTCATGTGATCATGGATACCATATCCACCGTTCTAAAAAATTAGTTAGTATTTTGATTATGAATTGATGAACATTGATTAGTCAGAAAGTTACATACCGTAGCATCAAAAGAAAGATCGTCTTCACGACTTCTTTTAGCCGATGTAGTCATTTATGAATTACTGTATAATGTATTTCAATAAGATGTAAAAATGACTTATGGAGGTCGAAATTAAACAAAACAATATTGTTGTGTGTATGATTTCCACAAAGGATGAATTAATCCAAAAAAAAAAAAAGAAAAGGAAAAAAAAAAGAAAGTCGCGTCCACGCGGATTTTTTTTTTTTTTAATTCTATTTTTTACGTGAACCAATTACGTAAGAACCAGACATCAGGTCGTGCATAATGATCAAGCCCATTCAATGGTCTAGATTTGATTTCAAATATTGGTAACCTTTCAGTAATTATAACAAAAGTGGGAACAATCCCACCGTCTACGTGTAATATGAATTAAATTGAGGATTTTCTCTCCAGCATGGTATTAGTCTCCACCTGACGCAAACTTGTGTCCATCAGTTCGCAACTAAATGCATCGAGTATTTTTTTTTTCCTTCCTTCCATTTTCTTATCTTTTATAAACGGCTCAGCGCCATAAGTTCAACTTTTTATTATCTCTTTAGAACAACAATGTTTCATTTTATATCATTTATAATATGTATATCACTATGTTGTCTGAGAGTTTGGGGGTATCCACAGTCAATACTTTCTTATAAGATTTCTCCAAAAATTGTTATAGTGTCAATGTTTCAACCTGAAGAAGAAGCATGGACTTCGAAAATCAATTTCGTTCATAATTTACCAATTCCCGGATTACATCCCTTATATCCAAATGTTCATTGTACTGAAAATTATGATATCTGTCATTTTACTACAGGTGAAGGAGAAATCAACGCTGCTAGTTCAGTAGCATTTTTAATCTCAAACCCAACATTTGATTTTTCTAAAACTTATTGGTTATTGGCAGGTATTGGTGGAGGTGATCCAAATAAGGTTACTACTGGTTCAGTCACTTTTGCAAAATATGCCATTCAAGTGGGTTTACTGTATCAAATTGACTCAAGAGAATTGGATCCAGAAAAATATAAAGATTGGTCAACTGGATATTTTAGTTATGGTACGAAGAATCCTAATGATTACCCAGATTCTGTGTATGGAACAGAAGTATTTGAGGTGAATCAAAAATTAAGAGATAGGGCTATGAAACTTTCATTAAAAAATAAAGACCTTTTGAAAATTGGTGATGATGATAATATTAATTTAAGAAAATGGTATTCCCACCCAGCTAGTTCAAATCCAGATATTCTTGCATGTGACGTATTGACCAGTGATAATTACTTTACTGGACATGTATTAAATGATTATTTTAACCAATATACAAAGTTAATCACTAATGGAACAGCCAACTATTGTTCAAGTGCCCAGGAAGAAAATGCTAGTTTGGAGTCATTTATTAGAGTTGCTAAAACAGGGTTTATTGATTATGAGAGAATTGTTATTATGAGAACAATATCAAATTTTGTTGCTAAGCCAAAGAACTTATCAATAGATCCAATAGAGTTTTTCAATGAGTATCCCAAAGGTGGATTTCAACATGCATTGGATAATTTATACATTGGTGGTTGGCCATTTGTTGATGATGTAATAAATAACTGGGATGAATTATATGAACTGGGAGACGCCTTCAAAGCTGATAATTATTTAGGTGATTTATTTGGTACTCTTGGTAATGATGATAAAAGAGATTTTGGTAAGGACTCCTATAAGATAACAGAGATTTAAAATGGTACCTAATAATGAATGCCAAGCAAATTCAAATTAAATCCCTAACGTTTTTTTTTTTTCTAAAATATTGGCAGGGGCAAGAAATTACAGGGGATTGTTTTTTTTTTCTTTTTTTTTTTTTGTAATTGCAAAATGAATCCTTATACCGAGTCAATGTAGATGTTTAATAATAAAAGTTAATTATTTATTTTGGATACAAAAGTATACCTTTCCTATGCTCTGCTCATCAGATGAAGAAATTTACCCAAAACGATGCTCAAATAAACAAACGTTTCAACGGAAGGCTCAGGTGCGGAAAGCTTTTGGGTCCAATTGGTAATACAAAGATAGGCTTACAATGCATTGTTAACAAAGCACAAAAGTTTTTCTGTTCTTTCTTTATCAATGCTGATTACTTCCATTTTCTGTCTACCTTCCGATGGAACGGCATTTTTCTTTCAATCCACTTACTTTGGATAATTTCAGTTATTGAATTCCCTAATTAGGTAGATACATTGCGTAACGCACAGGGGACTAAATTCTACAAATGCGGAACAATAATTCAATTTAATTTAATTTAATTTGAAAGAACGATAAATTGATAAAAGATAATTCATTGACTCCTATTTTGAAAAAGGAGATGCCTTTTACTCATCATATATGTTTCTTCCCATTATATGTCGATAGAAATGAATGAATTATTATTATTTTTTTGGGACTATAAATATCTCTGACAATTTCCTGTTGGTTGGATTTTTATTTCTTCTTTCTTAACTATCATCACCAAACCATGAAGTTTTCAACCATTTTAGGAGTAACATCTGCTGTTATTTCAAGTACTATCGCTAGTCCACTTTTCAAACGTGACATTAATGAAACTGCTTTAGCTGAAGAAGTTGTTGATACTACAAACAACAATATTCAAACTTCTTATGGTAAACCATTTGCTGTTTATCAACCAAAAGCATTCATTATTTCTATGTTTGAATTAGAAAGAGATCCATGGTTAAAAGCATTGGATTTTGTTCATAATATTACTGTTCCTGGTTTATCTCCAGTTTACCCAACTATTCACTGTACTACTAATTATACAATTTGTCAAATTACTACTGGTGAAGGTGAAATTAATGCTGCTAGTTCAATGACTGCTTTAGCATTAAATCCATTATTTGATTTAACTAAAACTTATTTCTTAGTTGCTGGTATTGCTGGTGGTGAACCAGAATATACTACTTTAGGTGGTGTTACATTTGCTAAATATGCTGTTCAAGTTGGTTTGGAATATCAATTAGCTTATGAAGATTATATTGAAACTAATCCTGATTGGGTTTCTGGTTATATTCCATATGGTACTGATAATCAAAATTCTTATCCTGGAAATGTTTATGGTACTGAAGTTTTTGAACTTAATGAAGCATTAAGAGATAGAGCATTTGATTTAGCTTCTAATGTTACTTTAAACAATGGTAATAAATTGAATGCTAAATTTAGAAAATTATATAATGAAACTGCTGCTAGAGGGGATGCTAAAGCTGTTAAATGTGATGTTTTAACTAGTGATAATTATTTCACTGGTAATGTATTGAATGATTATTTTGCTAATTATACCAAATTGATGACTAACGGTTCAGCTACTTATTGTTCTACTGCACAAGAAGATAATGCTACTTTGGAAGTTTTAACAAGATTGAACAAGTATGGTTTAGTTGATTATGATAGAATTGTGGTTATGAGAACTATTTCTGATTTCTCAAGACCTCCTCCAAGTATGTCAACTTATGAATATTTCTTTAACAGAACTGATGGTGGTATTTCTGCCAGTTTGGATAATTTGGTTATTGGTGGTACTCCAATTATTCATGATATCATTCAAAACTGGGACAAAGTTTATGAAAAAGGTATCAAGTACACTTCTAAGAATTACGTTGGTGATATTTTCGCTACCTTGGGTGGAACTCCAGATTTTGGAAAATCATCTTTTGAAATTGCTTAAGTTGATAATTAAACAAAAATAAAAATAAAGGAATACAACCCATTTTTATATCCATGTATTAGGAAATTGTTTTCTTGATACACACTTCATTTCTATACGTTGTTAGATTAATTTATATTTCATTCAAAATATAATTATAATTATTATTACTATTATTAAAATCATTACTACTATAAATACACTGTATTAAATATATATATATATATAAATATAAAAAGAAACAATGAACACATTCAAGAAGAAAATTATGTTTAAGTATATTGTATACCAAAAGAAAAATGGAAAATTGGTTTTTTTTTTCTAAAAAAAAAATTAGTCTATAACTAAATTTCAAGCTTTTCGTCTTTAGAAAAATGCAAATCATGAAACTCTGAGCTTCGTTTAATAACAGCTGTATCGCCTTCATCAGCAGTTACTCCAGATGTGTCCCCAGTGGATTCTTCATGGTATTGATCATCTTCGTCTTCATCCTCTAAACCTCCTGCTTCATTTGTAATTGGGGATGTGAAAGCTACATTAACTCGAGTTTCTGGTACTTCATCATCATCGTCATCAACAACCTTCTCCTCTTCGTCATCATTAAAGATTTCATGGTAATTGGCAATCAATTTCTCCAATACTAAATTCATAAATCCAAAGTTGTTAATCAAAATATCCAAGTTACTTGCTTCAGTTAAAGCAGGTCCAATAACAGTTGCCAAATTTGAATAAGACATTTTATTGGTTGCACTGTGAACACTGATTCTATTCAAGTGTTTGATCAATGCTTTTAAGGTGTTGTAGTTGGCAATTGGTAAAGAAGTTAATGTGTTTTGATACTTGATAATATCAACTTCTTTGGAAATTTCACTATCATTACATTCTTGTTCTTGTCTTAACTCAAAGAATTGATTGATCACATCATCTGTTAACAAAGCATCTGGTAATTCACGGAAATAAGATTTCACAATACTTGTTAACGCATGAGTATCATAGCCCTTGTCGTCAAAATTAAGTTTACCATACTTATCAATGGTTTGTTTGATCGATGCCAATTCACTAATAGAAGTACTAATACGATAAACCCCAACATCTTTAATACCAATCTCTTCAATCTCATCAAATATTTCTTGCAAAAACTTTGGAACAAGTGATTGCTCTCTAGAGCAAACAAAGCTGATTGGAACACCAAAAATAGGATTACCACCGATTTTCATGTTCAAAGACTTTGAATGGAACCAATGACGGTTGGCATAACTCAAATGCACTAACCATTCATTCAAATTCAAATCATCTGTAGCTTGGAAGAAATATGCATCACCAGCTTCTGAATCAATCTTAAAACACAATGCCATAAGATACACTGGGAAAATTTTCATCAGTTTCAAAGGAATAACTAAAGTAGGTTTTTTAGTAAGTTCAAGCTGAGTTTCTGGATTAGGTAACTCTTTAACAGAAACCACTCTCTCTGGTACACTGGTATTTCCCGACAAAGAAAAAGGTCTTGATTTGGTGAATAACCCACTGATTTTAAACCTGGATGAAGAATTGGACTTGTAAGACAATGATTGACGTTTGAGTGAAGTGTTTGATGTTTTTCTTGTTAATGTGTGCATTCCATTCAAACCACTATTAGAACCATTCACAGCAGAGTTGCCACTTGCTGAGGAAATACTATTGTAAGGTGTGTTGATCGATGTCGGATGAGTTTTTGAATCTCTTGATTGTTTCTTTTGGTTATCAACCAACAAGATGTGATTTTGTTCTCTCATCACATTTCTAAAGATTCTATACTTTTCAACTGGAGAAAATTCACGGTAGTTTTGTTGATTAACTAATGATTCATCAAGTTTCAATAAAAAGTCAAACTCATGAGAATCGTGGAAACTGAACTCACCAGCAGTACCATTACCAGATTCACCTTCAAAATCTTCAACACTTAATTCTCTAATCAATTTGTAAATCAAGTATCTCTTGTTGAAATTAATCATATTTTTGAAATAAGAAGGACATTTATCGGTTTCAATCAAGTTTTCAATAATCCAACCAAAACAAGGCAACAATGGTTCAGTTGATTGTAAATCATGGATTGTGATATGCTGAGGTAACAACAGATCGATATCATCAAAGTTATTTCCTTCTTGATGGTGACGCTGCAATGATTGTGCTGCTCTTACCCACAAGTTTGAGAACACTCTGGACTCGGGTGAGTAAACAACATTGATAATAGCTGTCTCAATACATGATGGAATATTACCAGTTCCTTCAAATACAAATTGGTTGTCACTCATTTTCAACTTGGACACTTTGGCCATAATCAACAAAGTTTTCATTCTGTCCAATCTTTCATCAGAAGTAATGTTCAAGTCAGTCAACTGCACAAGTAAATAGCTTTTGAATTTAAAATAAACCTTGAACAATTTGCGGAAAACTAATGGGAATGTCTTCAATAACAATTGGCGATCGTTTGGCATAACCAAAGATTCAAAAAAGTTGAAAATATTGGAGACTATAATTTGATCATCTGGAGTAGATGTCTTTTGCAAACTAAAATCAAGCAACGCATTCTTCTCAAATGAGTTTTCCAAAATTTTGTAAACCTTAACCCAATCCTCTGCCTTGATACCCTTGTAGAATACAGCTAACAACTTGTTGAACTTGTACAAGAATTTTTCTATCTTATGGACATTTCGATGACTTGGCAAGTTTCTATTCATTGGAACTTCGTGAAGTGAATTATTGAATCTAAACTCGTGAATCAAATATTCGTCAAATTTCAGAACTTCCACCGGACGATAGGTTTTCTTAACAAAAAGTTTCTTCAATTTCTTGTAATAAGTAACCAAACTTTCAAACGATCTTTCTAATGAGTTATCAATCTTGTTTGAATTGTACCATTGTAAAATTTCATTACTGAACAACTTCAATAATTTAATAAGAATATTCTTGTTTGCCAAGTCCAATGAGAAATTGGAGTAAAAATTGTTAATCAAAACGATCAACACTTTCAAAATGTTAATCTGAATCTTCAACAATAATTCATAATCAACTTCACCCAATTCGTTCAAATCAACGGCTGTATCCAAATCCCAATTTGGGAAATTAATTGGCAATTCTGGACCTCCTTTGTTAAAGTTAGGCTCACCTTTAGTACCTTTATCTGGGTCGCCATTATACTTCTTGAGCAAATAATTCTTCTTCATTACCGAAATAACAGCATTTCCAGAATTAACAAATCTATGAGCTAATTTTTCCAATAAATCTTTAGTAGTCATAAAGGAGTTATAGTTCAACAAAAACACAAATCTATACTCAGTCATATCAAGGTGAACATCACGATGAAAGTATCTGGAGTCAAGTAGTAACAAATCAATCAACTTGTCCACTGTCGCGTATTTAGGGATGAACTTATACATCCGCTTAATGTTGCCGTCGACAGTCATATCACTTTGATTGTTAGCATTGGAATTACCCAAGTTGTTAGTATTATTCTTTGGTGATAACAGGAAATTTGTAAATTTGTCTGAATTCAAAATAACATCAACATCAATACCCAAGCCCGGAACATCATCATCGTCATCGCCGGCAACAAAATCTTCACTTCCACCACCTGTGACAACACCCAAAGATTGTGATGAATAATCGTCCACCTCGGAAATAAAGTCGTCAATTCTGAAGGTCAACCCCGAATCAACAACAAAATTATGCTTGTTAATCGATGGATCTAATGGTGGTGTTACTAATTTTTCGTCTGAGTTGGTTAATTCATCATATTTGACCAAGTTTATTTTGAAATAACGATTATTAAATGTAGGGAGTCGCATTGTTGGGTTGAACTCGGCACGACTATTTGTTTCACTTGAATGTTGAGTTGAATCTATTGAATTTATAGATACACTTGATCTGTTACCAGCAGTTCTTAAGAATGATAATTCCAATGGAGTGGATGGAATAACTGAAATTGTGTTGGAAATATTTAAATAAGCTTCTGGCAATTCAGGTTCCAAATTTACCGATAACTTCATAATCTTTTCCAAATTGATTGAATCACAATTCAATTCTATCAAACGTAACAACTTATTCTTCAAGTCGGAGTTTGAGCTTCTGTGTCTCATTGGGGGTCTGGATCCGTCCATTTTTCTATCATCACTATTAGAGCCCAAGTACAAGACTTGATTTAAACTTTCGTTAGAAAACATAAAACCCATGGAGTCGTATCGACGTATGACATCGTCATTATATTTAATAATATCGTCATGATTGTTCAAGTTGGCCAAGTAATCGTTCCATCTATCGAATGAGTAGTTGATTCTCTTCCAAATCGATTCTGTTTCATATATATCCACACTCTTGTCAACACCAACACTATTATTGATTACCAAATCACCAAAGTAAGGAATGACCCTTTCTTTAGGATAGATTTTACCTAATCCTCTTGGAGCCATGATATGATATGAGTCCTTGGAATTAAAATCTCTAGCATCTTCATTGTTTAAATGTGGTGATTTGCTCAGGTCTATAGAAGACTCATTAATCAAGTATCTTCTATCCAATTCAAACAACACCGGAGACCAGTCATTCTTCAATAATTTGATATAATCAGGAGACACCAAACACCAAATTTTGTTCAATCTTAATACTGGTTGGGATAAGATGATTGACGATATACCCAACCATGATGACATATTCCCTGATTTGTCCAACAAACAACCTAAATCGATCCATTTTTCCAATAATCGAGCTTTGGCTTCTAAACTAGCCGAGCTCATGGCTGTGTTTGTGTTCTCAATAAATAAATGGTTAATCAATAACCTTGATAAATAGTGTACATGATAGTCATTATTAAATATCAATGGATTCTTCTTGTAAAAAAAATCTCTATTGGAATCATCGCTAATAGAAGAATATAGTAATAATGACTTATCGATATTGGAATTCCAATTCTGGAAAAATCTTAAATCGATTTCGCTGATGGTATACGCAAAATCAATCAAATTAACCTCCTTCATAAACACCAGGGAATTCAAATCTTGGAATGGCTGGACATTTAAAGGAAGATTGTCATTATTAACCAAGTCAATCAACATTTGTTGTTTCAGCAACATCTTATTCTTGAATATCGTGATATCCTCTAACTCGTGATGATTGATAATTTCCAATATTCTCAATATATACGGAGCTATGTCTGATTTTAACAAATACCCATCAAAATGCTCTTCCAAATTCTTCAAAACTGCAAGGATTCGTTGCACCACTAAATCAATATTGGCCACACCGTCGAATTTTTTTTCAAAGATACAAGACAAGTATATAGATGCAAATTTCAATATTTGACCAAAATCAGGTAAAATAGGCAAAGTACTAACAATTGTTTGAATCGTATGACTGTCGGCAGGGTCCTGGCTGAAAAACAAGAAATGTAACAATGCTTCCAAGGAATTCTTACCATCTTTAAATAAAGGTACAGTGAATGAATGGGAACTGAAGTCATACACTAAATCTGGATGTGGTACTTGCACTTTGAAATAAGTAATTCTGTATTCCGAAATGTCTGCGGATGAAGTTATTGGTAATGATGGTGGAGCAGTAACAGGAGTATTTGGAATACTGCTAGTACGGGGAGGTTCAATTATATCTTTCTTTAATGCCAATGTTGGAGTGTCTACCAATGAATTCTTTCTCAAATTTAGATTTGGTGGCCCATTTGTTGGTGTACTTGTTACAACTGGGCTTGATATCCGTGAAGTATCAAGTGATTTTGATTCAACAAGGGTGGATGTTACTGTATCAACAGTAGCAGTATCATGCACAGTGCTAAGATTATTGTTTGATGTTGGGTTGCAACCTGAGTTTATTAAGCTCCCGCTGCTATTATTACTGTGTTGCATCATTGCCTCGACTTCTTTGGGAATCGGTGGCTCGTCTAATCGAAAACTCCTGATGTTTAGATTTGGAGCTGGTTTGTACAAATATAAGTGGGATCCTTTCAATTCAGCGCGGTATAATTTAAGGTTGTTTTCGGTTACATCACCACCACTAATTATACCATTTAACCAGCTGTGTTTGATGAGCGAAGAATCATGTTCTGGTTTAATCAATGAACTTAATTTAACACCCAGAGTGGATGACGTAGAACCGGGTAGCACCGATATAGATGATGTGGATGATTGTTGTTGTTGATGCATTTGATTGGCACCAATCCTAGGAGACATGTATGATCTTGGAATGCTATTAGTGTTGGAATTGGAATTGGAATTGGAATTTGAGTTTGAGTTTGTTGTGGTAGTTAAGGTGGCACTACTGTGAGTGGAATACTTGTCTGCAGTTGATGCAAAGGATTGTTGACCATGTATTGATGATACATCATCGTATTCATATGGATCATCCACTGAATGCTGCAGTTGGTGGTGGTATTGCAGTTGCAGTTGCAGTTGCAGTTGCAGTTGCGGTTGTGGTTGATGTTGTTTTAGTGGTAAACTTTCACTTGAATCAAACTGTTGATGGGAATATATGAGAGGAGAACCATTATTATTATGAGTAATGCTCTTCCTCTTGTCTTTGTCTCTTCTGCCCCAAATCTTTCTCATGGTTGTCTAAACAAAATAAAAATATACAAAAATATGACACGGGTACGATTCAGTAAGGTTGATTTGATTAATGATCTGATCTGAGATGATATGAACTAATGAATGAACAAAATGAATTATAATCCCGCTTATTTTTCTAATTTATCTTGATTATATGTTGTTGATGATTGGTGTTGTTCTTAGTTGTGCTGTCTTTTTTACAATTTTTTATTTTTTTATGGATAGAATTTTGGCAAAAGGAATGATAAAGGGGAAAAGAAAAAAAAAAAAAAAAGTAGTCAAATTTTTCTCTCTCTCTCTCTCTTTGTTGTTTTGTTTTGTTTTGATTTTTCTTTTTGGTTGTAAGTTTTTTTTTCTTTGTTGTTTCTACTTTGTAAGAGATTTCGTGTATTGAGGTTAAAAATGTTACGTGTATAAGTTAGTCCAAATAATGACTATGATGCTGATTATGATTATGATTATAAGAATGCAACGATAGATCCATGAAATTAAAGTCTATGATGATTGTGCTTATTATTGGGACAATTTTATCGTCTAGTAAATTTTATATCGGCTCTATTTTATTATCTTGAATCAAATGTTGCGTGTCCGCTCTGGTGTCTTTCCATTTTGCTTCTTTTTTGGGGTGAGGCTTAAAAAAACTCAATATATTTCGTCTACAGTATGTTAGTATTGAGTTAATTGTCAAGTTAATTGTCAAGTTAATTGTCAAGTTAATTGTCAAGTTAATTGTAAACAGTATTGTACTGGTAATTCCATTAATACCACTACTAATACCAATATGAATGCTAATATGAATACTAATATTGATACTAAATTGACGTGTGTTTTCTTAATACTGTTCATGCAATTTAAAGCATGCTTACAAAAAATACAAACAACAATTGAAAAATAACAACACGTTAAATTCTTTCCTTTTTCTTCTTCAACCAATGTACACGTCCTCAGTAAACCATTAAACATTGTGTTTTTGTGTAATCATTCCTACCCTTTCGCTCACGTAATTTCACCAATATCAAAGCAATATCAACGCGCTATCAAATCATACCAAGAGTAGAAGTAGTACTAGAAAAGTGTATTAATATACGTACTACTAGTTCAATAACAATCAAACATTGTTTACTATGACGAATTAATTATTTGTTTTCAATTTTTCAACTTGAACCCCTCAAGTGACACGTCAAAAAAAATAGTCCTATTTCCGCAACAAAGTGAACGCGGCGGAAACTATTGTCATGTTACTTTTTTTTGGCATTGTTAGTTTATTTCACTAGAGGGAACAAGTATTGTTGAACAATAAGTGAAAAACTACACGATGTTAATAGTTTAGTTTATTAAAATATCTTCTTGGATAGTAATAAACAATCGTCACTCCCCTCCGCCGCTATTTTGAATTTCAAAAAAGTCAATTTGATGCATTTCTAAAATCAAGGAATTTTATTTTATTTTTTTCTCACCCAACAAAATACGAAAATGTAATTTCGACACTACATCCATGAATGAATACAACCTTGCAGACCCTCGTTTTCATTATTATTTTTGTCATCACTATTGCAATGATGATGATACCTAATGTGAACCCCCTTTTCGATATCTTTGACAAATCACTGTACTATTATGATCCACTAACACGTAACACTGACTTTCCAATTATGTATAGTGTAAAACAAATCCAGTGACAAAAAAAAAAGGATTTTCAGAAATACAGAATTAAATTCCCTTTGAGAATGTTAACACTAACATGTTGATATTGATAACAAAGACGAAAATTTCATATCATATAATTTCAAAGAGCAAACTAAAATGATATAAACCCTTTATTTTTTATTAAAAATTTTTGTTTAATTTCATCTCCTATTTAAGAAAAGAAATTACATATTAGACGTGAAATTATCTCCCCCATTTCCTCTCCTATTAATATTTTGTACATGAAATTACATATCTCAGATATGTGGACAATTAACAAGATCACAAAATAGATCCACAAACGGCACATTCGGTTCTTGTGATTATGAATTCATTTATAAATAAGGCGTGTCAATTATTATGAACCGTTCCTTCAAGTTAAATATTCGTGCGCCTTGGGATTGGGAGAGACGGGGACGATGCCAAAAAAAAAAAAAAAATCACAATGGGAGAGAGAATAGAGATGAGACGTGCAGCATCGCCAGAACATCAGACATCATCACCTCTTTAACGATGTCCATGACAATAGATTATTCACATACCGATGCATTTCGTTTTTATTTTTAAAAACTTCTTGAATCGTTATATATATGAATTATAAGAGCCGATACAATGATCTACTTTAGTTTTTAATTCTTTGTCATCTATTCATAGAACATCATTAAATGTTACGTCTGTCATCAAAAGTTATTGTTCGGTGATATTTAATAACCGACGTAATTCCATATAACCGACTTAATGTACCAGTCAATACTAACCGCCTCTTGATGAATAACTACACTTCACATTTACAACCGATCATAATTTTCATCAAAAGACTTCTAAAAAATTGCAGCAAAAAAAAAAAAAAATCCTCTCAGATTATTGCAACATAAGTTTACAAACCAAGTTTATAAACAATATATAAAAAAAAGAGCTCATTTTAATCTCATATACAACATATAATGTATATAAAACTATAAATCATCCCCATATTGGGTAGTATATCTACACATGATTCCAATCCACTTTATTTCTTAGCTGGTTTGGTATTCAATGGTTCTTCTAAAGTCTTTAAAACTTCTTCATCTTTAATCAGTTTGTCAGATTTGTAGAAATCAGCATCAAATTCAGGACTGGTATATTTGACAATACCATGTTTGGTAATACCAAAAGTAGTGAAAAATTGAGCAATATATTCACCTTCTTTTTCAACAACAACATCATAAGGTAACAAAATTCTATGGTTGACTGGTTCAGCCAAACCACCTCTTGATTTCTTAACATCCTCCAAATTACGAATATTATATGGGAATGGTTGATTGTTACATTTTTGTTTAAATTCAGTAAGAATCTTATGAGACATTTTCATTTTCAAAGCATAAGTTTCACCAGTTAATTTGTACATAGAAGTTCTGTAATTTGAAGGTTTGGTTTTACCATCAGTTGAAGTGGAAATTAAAATATCCAATCCATAAACTTCGTTTTCTCCAAATCTATGAGTTTCCATGGTATTTTTATTTTGTTTAGATGGATTAAGAATAATTTCTTTAGGTCCGTATAAAACCATTCTTTCTTGATTATGACTCAACATATTTTCTAAAGGAGTAGTTTCAAATTCTTTAGCAACTTTACCAACAACATTAGTAATATCCCAATTTCTATTAGCTGGTTTGAAAGTTCTTAATGCAGCTTCACTTGCATTCCAAGCAGCATTTAATAAATCTGCTTTAACTCCATCAACTGGATTTTCTTTACTTGCTCCAACAACTAATGTTTCAGCAACAACAGCTGGAAATCCATCAATTTGAACACCCAACATAATATTAACAACATCTCCATCTTTTAAAGTAATGTTGGCTTCATCTTCAGCACTAACTGGTGCAAGATGTGCAGGAATATGATTTGGATTAACACAGGTTGGGAATGCAATACCTTTTGGAGTATTTTTGGTTTTTTTAGAATTATAAATTTTAGACAATTCTTCATTCATTAATTCATCACCTTTAATACAAAGATCATATGTAGTAGCTCCAGCAATTGCCAATGCTTTAACTTGAGCAATAACACGATTAGAAATATCACCAGCTGTTTTATATTTGGAAACAACATCAGAATTCTTAATTGAATAATCTGGAGCTGGAGCAGCGGTTTCTTTTTAACAATTGGTTAGTAAATAATCAATTGACTTTTGTGATTCATATATAATGATATACATACTCTTATCAGTGGTAGAAGTGGACATTTTTTTAAATTATCTTGTTTAAAAATCAAGGATAGAGATGTGAATAAGAAAAAAAAATTTCTTATGAAAAAAAATAAAAAGTTTCTGTTGTAATTTTTTTTTTTTTCTGTCTTCTTCGTTGTTCAAGATTTTAAGGAGAGAATCAAAAAAATCAAAAAAATATTGCGGCCAATCGTATATATAACAAGAAGTAATGTCTGAAGCACTGTTCAAGTATTAAGTAGGATATTATATCACTTTGGTCCAATGGATGATGTAAAATCCGATCCATTGTAGAAACAGTTCGACTGAGAAATTAACGAACCAAAGGGGGTACTTCAATCAAGAAATAGGTCGTGTGAGAGCGCAAGTAGCTTTTGACTGCGGATACACGACTATGCAGTATATTATCTATCAATCGTTTGTAACGTTGCGTAGTTGAGGGTATAGTAACCACCGTTGGTCATAAATTACGGCCGGTGAAATGGTGGGTTGGTCAGAAGTACTCCAAAAACTAGGCCCACTGAATGATATTGGATATATAAGATACACAACAGGAACTATCGAGAGAAAATTTGGTTATCCCCATAGTAAACAATGTAGCAGTGACCAGTTGCTAATCTTTTGTAGAAGAACCTTCACTGACCTATGCTGTCTTTAAATACGAGTCCCTTAGGTAAGATTCAAGATAAAATATACATCGCCATTGTTCACTATCTTGGAAGATAATTCTATAGGTCATGTAAATAGATGGCATGTTTTCTGGTATGGATTACTGGCAAAATTCAAATAAATCAAACACCATGACAGGAGATATAAAATTGGATAATTTTCATGGATTTCATCATTGTATTCACTGAAATGGTAGTTAATTATTTCTTTGAATTGGCTGAGACTCACAACTGATTCGAATCAAATTAATAATTAATTATCAATTAAACACCTATACAATTGTTAATAATTCCAAATATAAACAAAACAATCTATAGTGTTGGAAAACAAATATTTTGCAAATATAGTTTTCTATTTGTGTGGGGGGAAAATTTGTATGTACTCGCAAGATGATCGCTACCATATTACGTTTGTTTGTATGTATTCTAATGTGCTCCAATGAGTATTTTTCTAATTGGCTTACCAGACTATATCATGTCAAAAGGAATTCCTCTCCAATGAATATATTTATCACAATGGCTATTACTCTACAGGATAACTCTTCATTTGTATCTAGGATAACTTTTAATTATATAAAAATTACAGGCAATAAAACAATGTACACTTATTCTACACAACTCTTTGTTTACTTGGTTCATAAGGAAGGGCAAGAGCAACAAGACCAATGATACCAACAAATGCACCACAAATCCAAATAGGCACCGAAGACGATGTATCTGAATAGTACGCAATAATTGGAACCATTGCAGTTGTGATTCTTGTGAAAAACAAACACAAACAATTACCAGTGGCTCTAGCGGCAGAAGGCATGACTTCTGGGGAATAAGCATAAATAACACCATAATAAATGTACAATGCACAATAAACAGCACTACTCAACCCAACATTTTGACCTCTTGTTCTAATAGCAGTATAACCAAACAATAATGCCATTGTAGTTAATCCACCAATACACATAACACCTCTTCTTCCTAAAACAGGGACCCAATATAATAAAAGACCAGCTATAATTGGCCCACCAATGGAACAAACGTTGGCAATAAGATTATCTCGATAAACACCACCAATAGTATCAGCGGAAATATTAGCACCTCTAGTAGCTAAATAAACTGGAAGGAAAGACAGGTATAATGGATAAGCAATACCTAAACAAGCCCAACTAAAGAACAACAAAATGGTTGAACGAGTGGCAGTTTTTGTGGCAAATAAAATCTTTAAATGTTGAAACATTAATGAAAATGTACCTTTTAAATTGAAATGTTTTCTGTAATCGTCATTACTTTCAATTTCACCACAATCTTCAAGTTGTTCCAATGTCAATGAACATTTACGGTTGTACTTGGCAGCAATTTCTTGTAACACTTGAACAGCTTCTGCATCACGATTATTGGAGACCAAGAATTTTGGAGTTTCTTTTAATCTAACAACTGTCAAACGTAAAATAGCCATGGCTAAGACAATACTACCATTGGTATACCAAACATATCTCCATCCACGGTTAATATGTGAAGGACAGTAATCAGCAGAGTCACAACTATTATTGGGTAAGAATGCATAAGCCAAAGCAACAGCAATGGTTTGACCAATACCCCAGAAAAGAGCAAAGAAAGTCAACAACCATTGATCTTTATGTGGTAAATATTCAAGAAAAACACAAGTGTCAAGAACCAAATTACCTCCAGCAGCAAAGGAACTCAACAAGACAAATAAACAATAAGAAGCCATATTACCCATCATACCTGTCATGATAGCGAATATAGCACTTAATAATAAAGACAAGTTAAATGCTAATCTTCTTCCAATCAAATCAGCACCAAACCCCCAAACTAAAGCACCAAGAATCATACCACCTGCATAACATTCATTTGATACTGGGAATGTATAACCAAATTGATAATTAATAAAAGTACGAACTGAAGATTCCAAATAAGTAAGCATACAATCAGTACAATAACCCATACCATTAAGGAAAAATAATTTAAGATGGTAAGGAGTGAAACCAATTTCGTCAATAGCATCATTAATCAAAACCATTTTTCTATGTAAAATAACATCGTTGGCTTCTAAACCAACCATATCGAATTCCAGAGAAGTGGAATCTTCAAAGATCTCTTCCTTCTGGGATCTAATATCTACTTTATCATTATCATTATCGTCGTTAGCAGTGACTTCTAAAGGTTGTTTTTCTTCAGGAAATATCGCCATGATGGTAAAAGGATGAAAAGAAAAAACACTTGAAGAAGAAGAATAGAACTGAAGAAATAGAAAGAAAGTAAAAAGAAAGAAAGAAAGAAAGAAAGAAAGAAAGAAAGAAAGAAAGAAAGAAACAAGAAATAAATAAAAAGAATTAGTGAAAAAGTTTTTTTTTTTTAAAATTAGCAATACAATAGAAGAAATTGGTCGAGATTTTGATTAATTTTTTTTTTTTTTTATGGGGCACACTCCGGTTTTGAGCCCCCAAAATGATTTTAGATTAGTCGTATGAAATTTTGTGACTCCGAATAAGTATTTCATGTTAACTGACCATAAAGTTTCTCTCTCATAGTCAAGTCCATAGTTAAAAGGTATAATATTCACCATTTTGACCATTTCAACATGGTAGCCAAGAAATCACGTAAAAGAAAGAAAGAAAAAAAAAAGCAACCGACTAATTTAATTGTTCTCTTTTTTTCCGATATAGTCTCTCTAAATAATCTACGGCTGTAGACTTCTATGTGGAGAAGGCTCTACTTTAAAAATATAGTTGGTAGTAAGTCAAAATTCAGTATTATAATCTGTCGATCCGATGAATCGACGCTCTTATTTAGCAACCACTGGTGGCAGCCCATCGTATCTATTGGAAATAATATTTGCTATAGAAAATAGAAATCAAACATTACATGCCGAGGAGAAATAATAATATTTCATTGGATGATGTCATAGGGGGAAACAGGGGGAGTCGGGTGTGTGCGAAATTACAGGAGGAACGGAACAGCTACGTTAACAATTTATTACTACATCATGAACCCATTAGTTGAATAATAGTGACAATTTAAATAAATACGACAGCTAACTATTATTTTACGATCAATTTACTACTACTACTACTACTACCACAGTCTATAATTTGAGTTCAACAGCACACAATTTGACTTTCGGTTTCACATGCTGTGGTTACAAGTTCTCATCAAGAAGAAAGAATTTTTTGTTTTTTGTTCTTCTTTGTTGCTCTTACTTGCAGTACGTATGCATTTAAAGACCGCCTTTGTGATCTACCGGGAATAGCTAAACATCCAAATTCTGTCCAAGAACAACAACCAGAAGCGATTTGTTTAGACTTGTTTAATTTGAAATTTAGTCCGTTGCTGATTGGATGTAAAATAAATAGGTGCTAAAATTAACGATTTTACACGTGTGGTACAACACGTGATGACAAGCAGATGTCAGTTCAAGGATATATTTAATTGACAAAGATCATAGAAAATAATACCTTTATATCATTTATTTGACACTACATGATCTACAAAATAAACAAGTTACAATCTAATCAGATAAACCATGCAAGAATAATACCAACAAATGAGACATAATATTCAGTGGTGGCATCTCCTCTGGATGAACTTGAGCTACCTGAAGTAGTAGTAGAAGAACTTGATCTACTGGAAGAAGTAGAACTGCCACCACTAGCACTGACACTTGCTGAACTTGCCAATTTGCAATAATACTCTTTAACGTCAGTTCCAGAATTCCAATCCTGGAAATCATCAGCAGAGCCACAACTACGAGTGCAATTCAAAATTTCATCATAAAATGAATCAGACATTTTGTTACACATACAAGCATAATCTGTATTACCATCATCTCCACAAACACTAGTTATAGTTTCACCAGAAGTTGTACAATCTTCACTAGAACAAAGATCTCTCTCGAAGAAATCAAAACTAAATGCAACAGTAAAAACAATAAATAAGAATAATACTAAAAACTTCATGATTAATGTAGAATTTGAATCTAATAAAAATAAAACTCAACTTGGATGTTATAAATTTGCCATTTCAAAACTTATTTATATTTGTATTTCAGTAAAATAATACATGACCAAATGGGTAATCCAACACCCTATTTTAGCGATATCTCCAATTGGTTAGGTATTTCCTTTACTACAAATGGTTATTTAACTTGATATGAAATAGAGTATTCCAGCATTCGGTACTTCAGGTCAAATTAAATGGGCGACACGCGATTTTTTGGGGATAATTTTATTTTGAAATATGTCAATCTATTTCGCTTAATCGTTGATAGTTTTCTTTTAAATCAGAACTGTCAGATGCCAAGTTAGATCTATAAACTGTTGACATCTTTTGCAACCAAAGAACTTGTTATTATCACAATACCTTAAAACAGAGTATACTGTTTTTCTTAACTTTGAAAAGAGGAATCCGAAAGTAGGAGTCAGAGCGTTTGAATAGATCAAAGAATATGACCATATCATAACCCCAAATGTTTCCCGCCCTAACTTCCTTGATCAAAAAAAAAAAAAAAAAGAAAAGAATATATAACTAAACCCGCGTTTGATGGTTATATTTTTTAAGGTTAGAGCGGAATGTCAGGACTTAATTGTCATAATCAATTGCACCAATCATGAAGAAGGGTTTTTTTAGTACACCGAGTACTAGAAGTGGACTACGTTTGATATCTTTAGATGATGAATTCACTCACCACTGGACTCATTAAATAGTGTTCATGTTTGTCATGATAACCCGATTAGATTAATCATATAACTACGCTATATATTCACAAAATACTTACAGTACTACACATGAATATAAATGCAATAATAGAGGGTAGGGTATTTGGCACCAATTGTCAATGGTTGAGTTAGTTAAGAGGTATTCGGCAAACAGAAATATTTAGCGGGACAAAAAGTTGCACATACAGGGTACTCTAAGAAAATTACATGACTTACCCAAGAGATCCACATTGAAGCAATAATAACTGCAACTAACAATATGAACTGGTATGCCATCCTATTCGTTCCTGTCTCGTGCAACATTGCTAAACATGAAATTGTTTAACTAATCACTTTCGATTTCAGAAGGTGATGGAAATTCCGCTCCTTGTGAAGCTCCTCAATTACTATAACATTCAGTAGCGACTTGAAAGAATGAGTTCAGCGTGTTACCACAAAAGCATTGTAAAAGGAAGGTATCATTGCTGTTACAAGTGTCAATGATTGCACTGACAACATCACTCCATACTTACATATCACATTCCTGATTTCGAAGCAACCCTGAAAAGTCAGTTAGAACAAAAGCAGTCAAAAATGAACCGTTGTCGTATTGCATCAGTTAATGTTTTTTTTTTTTTTTAGATTAATGACTTGAAAGATTAATTTCAATGTAAATTGGAGTAATAAAACTCTTACAAGACTTTCATAACTTATACAGTCCAGTTGTAATCTGGTGATCTGGTCAATCTAGCTTCTTTGAATATGTCTTTATAAACCGTGCCATATTCAATGTAACTCCTGTGTTAAGTAACAGAATATTCAGATAAAAGGATTACTTAAACCTGATACCAAACACCACATTGAGCTGGGAACCTCGTTTAACAAAATAATAGTCTTTACTTAGATATTCATGATTCAATTCTTCTATTCCAAAACTTGGTGAATCTAAAATTTTGTTAATACAATAGTATTGTTCTACTCTGAAAGCTGGGATGTAGATTTCATTGTCAGGATAAATTTACATAATTCGGTCATCAATTGAAATAGTCCCCCAGATACGGTTCAATTGGTATCAATTGTACGTATGGTTTGGTATGCATATTAGAAGTTGAGATATTGTGCTAGTATTATTTCATCTACTGTTTGTCTATTGTCATCTTTTGGTATTCTTAATTTGATATCTGGTTTGGGTCATACAATTTTTGGTTCTTTGTTGAAAGCAGAGTAATCCTCATAATAGTTGCACCGGGGGTAGGTTCCAGAATTTTTTGATAACATAGGTTCTAAAAATGTTTATTTACGGAAATGGTGTTTTACAAGTGGAGCTCCAAAAGACAGTATCTTTGTACTATGTCAGATACATATTTACGTGGCCATGTTTACCTAATGAGATTGACCCTTGTTCTAGCTTCTATTTCAAAATTCATGTTTATGTTGGGGACTTCATTGTGATTATGGGTTTCCAGTTTAAGCTTCTTTCAGCGACTATATTATATCATGGAATTTGCTTTTGCATATAATCAATACATAGAAGACGTGAATCTAAACTAGAGACGGGTTGGTTACTACAATATACGTTGCAATGAATGTTAACATATTTAGCTAGTTATTGATACAAAATATACAATTCAAGTAGTAGCAATGAAGGTACTGCAGATATTAAATCAAAATTGCTAGCATCAAAATAACATTGGATAAAACACTGTTCAAGGCAGCGGCACCCGTAGCACTTGTTGTCGTTTCTGAAGTTTCGTGTGCTTCAGCAGAAGCAGATTCTTCCGACATAGTTTCCAGGTTTTTAGTTTCTGAAGCATTTGTTCCAGATTTTGCTGTACCAGAACCAGAACCAGTAGTTTTTGAGCCGGAACCGGAACTGGAACCAGTAGTTTTAGCTGTTGAGCCTGAACCAGTTTCTTCTGATTCTGCTGACCCACCTTGAATAGTGGAAAGAACAGAATCAAAATCAAATGTTGGTGTTACAAAATCAGAAAAATCTCCAAAATCGCCACCACCAAAACCACCAAAATCAACTGTTGGTATTCCCGTTTGTGAAGCCAATTCACAGTAGACACTCCTTAAACCTGATGCATCTGGAAGTTGTTCTCCGTTTTCAACATCATCACAGTTCTGAGCACATTCAATTATGTTTTCATAGAAAGAATCGGACATATCATTACAAAGACATTTATAAATATCTCTTGAATTTACATCACAAGTTTCTGATAATGCTCGAGCAGCACTCACACAAGCTCCAGTATCGCATGTTGCCCTCTTAAAAACATTAAAATAGTTAGCAGATGTAAGTGTGGAAAAAGTCAATAATATGATAAAATTCATATTGAATAGAGTCAATGATTTCTATTTGATGATAAAACTTTTAACGATGAAATATATGATCACCTTATATAGTATTTCCTTTTTCTGATTATTTTCACCTTGTTTTGCAATTACGAAGATAATTCACAATTTAAACAATGCAATTCCCAATGAGGATATCTTTGTATTACATAATTCTCAACAAATCAATCCATTTCCCCTCTATTGATGTTCCTTTGTAGAATCTGAATGACTATGTAAGGTCTGGAAATAATAAAGATCTACGAAGAGTTATTGTTTGTTCATTACTGCCCTACGTAGCATTATCAATATAGTGGTTTCAAAAATAGAATAGCTCAAAGTCCATTGTTGTCAAGAATCTCAAAAACTATAGTTTTCGATAATGGGAGTTCACTACTACACATAAATGCACCATCATCTATTGCTTGATGCTAGTAATATTATTTCTTTTATGTTTTACTTGAAAATACCAATGGTTTCAATTGGTCCATGGATACATGTCTCCGTCGTACCATTTGCAGTATTCCAAGAATTAGAAATGGTTACGAAGTATTTGGCAACATCACACAGCGGTTGCAGAGTACGTAAACTCCCTAGTTTCAGGCTAAGCCACCGCAAGGCTATGCAATCAAGTCATTTAAGCTCATCGTCACTTCTATTGGTTATTTAGAGTTGAGGGGTTGAATCAGAAAAATAATTGATCATCAAACACACACACACACACACCCCAATCAAAAAATTATCCTTTAGGCACAACTGCCTAAGTCTTGATTACATAATCATCCACTTTATGAATTATCCAAAAGAGAAAAAAAAGAATGCAACAACAACGTCAATATTCATCAATGGTTAGGACAAAAAAAAAACATTATGGCATTTATTACTATTAATATATTCTATGTTTATGAGTTCATAATGACCTTGGATTTGGTAGTATTTTTATATTATAAAGTATTCTAATTTTTTTTTTTCGATTTTTTTGTTTATTATTCTTTGATTTTAAAGGAAAAACATAGCAAGGATTTAGGTAGCAGTCGGAAATAGCAATTTGTTAATGTATCTAATTAATAAGACTGCAAACTTAATATTTACGAGACCCGGAAATTCTAGAAGAGCAAGAATGCAACCAATCCTAATAAAGTGACAATAACGGCCTTTCCACTATCGATGGAAACACCACCAGCTCTTGGAATGGCGCCAGTAACATTGGCATAACCAGTAGGAACTCCTTTCTTGGCAGTTGTAGTCACAGCCTTGGTTTTACCACCGGCAGCAGCTTTACCAGTAGTACTTGTCTTAGTGACACTCTTGGTAATTGTTGGTTTTGGCTTACTAGTTGTACTTGGGGTAGGTGCTGGAGCAGGAGTAGCTGGCGGTGGAGGTGGTGGGGCAGCTGATTTGGAAGCTAAAGTGGTAGTTCCAAGAGCAGCCGCTGAAACTGGAAGATAATTATCTTGAGAAGCTTGTAAGCAATAAGCTTTCTTATAATCATTTGGGCCAGTATAGCCTTCGATTTGTAAACCTTTACAATCTTTGGAACATTCATGCAATTGGACGAAATAGGCATCAGACATTCCACAGGCACATTTAGGGTCTGAGACCCCTCTTTCGCCACATTGATCTTGAAGCAACTTGGCAGCGTTAACACATGCGGCACCACCACAATCATATGACTTTTTAGCCACATCAATTACTGAAGCGGAAACCAAAGCTAAACTTAATAAACAGTAAAGAAATTGCATTGTAATGTTGAAAGAATATTTCTAATGAAGAAAAGATACTAGTGGTAAAAAAAAAATAAAAGAGAATAATTCATATACTCTATTGTATTTGATAATTACATGTATTTATATATTACAGGGATCAACTATACCCTACCAAAAAAGAATTTTGCATAAATTTTCACTGAAAAAACTAGCATTGCAAAAAAAAAAAAAAAAAAAAAAAGAAAAAAACCCACAAAACATGAACTGTAGTTGGCGGAGTAAGATATTCACAAGTTGTCTTTGCTTATTGTTTCCTATTAATACTGGTTATACTTTTCTTTGTTAGGGAACTTTTCACAAAAAGTGGCTGCGAAAACCCAATCACGTACAAATAAATCCAGTACCCTCTGGCATATCAAACTTTAATTCATCACTCATAGCGTTTACTCTCCTCATGTTGTTCCATTACAAAAAAAATAAAGAGAAGTAGAATTATAGTTCGAATAAGCATAATTTAAAAGAATGTCATTTATTGAAGTGATGTAGTAATGCATATACGTAGTGCTTAACTTAAATCAAATATACGGCAGCTAAAAGTATCAAGTTTGCTTTAATAGTTCCAACGCAATTTCGAGCAATGGTTCTGCAAGTGCGTTTAGTCCTTCTGTGTGGAAAATGTATTCTGGGACGTAGGAAAACAAAACGTGAGTCGGTTCCAGTTATGGCGGGCGCCTCACCGTTTGCAGTTTCTCCAACACACTCTTCGGTATTCGTGCCATAGTATTCAGATGTAGCATAAGTTTCTGTTGCATATACTTCAATCGAACCATGGTTCGTGGTGTGTAACAAAGTTACCAGTCCTTCGGAGATTTTCTCAGCAACATCACAATAATGATTATGCAAATCAGTAGAACTGTTACTGTCAATATGAAGAAAATCAAATGAATCACATTCATCAATACAACGTTCAAACATCATGAAAAACCCTTTATCTAATTCACATACACATTCAAAATAGCTTTGGAAGTATTCTGAACTGGAGGGGATTTGTCCACAATGACGGATTAAATAGTTTGCAGCTTCTGTACAAGAAGGACATTCTAAACTTCTTTGAAATTGGTTGATTTTTGTTTCATCAATCAAACACTGTACTGTATTCAAAATTGTAAGAAGTACTAATAGTATCATTGGATAATGTGTTGACTCTTGACGCAGAGAAACCAATCTGAATTGGTCAAGAATTTATCTGATTCATCAAATAATTTATATGAATCGTTAGCTAACACATATTTGATTATAATTGCTACATCATATTGCATTTGTTTTAGGTTTACGTTCTGTGGGTTGTGATTATATGTAGGTTGATGTTGAACAAGGTCTAGCCCCACGCGTCCAATCAAAATCGAGTCGAAAGTGTATATTCGGTAAAATTTTACCCCAGAAAAAAAGGGGAAAAACCAAAATTGCCCCGCCAATGAAAAATAAAACCACCTGATGTTTGAACCTTTTTTTTTTTGTTTATTCACCCACATCAACAACAACTACTACATGTTAAGAAGATTCCCATTTCGCCATTTTCAAAGATGCCAGTCAAGTTTGACAGTGTTGAACTTCAACAATAAGGAAATCACTGTTTCCATTAATGAAAAACCAGTCACTTTCAATAATGTATTCTTGCGTGACTCGTCGAGATCGCCTGATTCTGTTGATCCTATTTCTAGTCAGAAATTATTCACTACTGCTGAAGGTGCAACAAATTTGTCCATTAATGGTCCACCTTCAGTGGAAAATTCAAAGGAACCTTCGTTGAAAGTACAATGGAATAATGATGGTAAAATCATCGATTCGTCATACCCAGTATCATTCTTGGAGAGATACTCCACTCCGTCTGGTCGTAGAATTGAGAAATTCTTCGATGAAGATAGAAAATTGTGGGATAAAAATGAACTCGAATCTAATTTACCATCATTACAAATAGACTATAAAGATATTTTGAATAAAGAAGAATCATTTTTCCAAGCTTTGTATAATTTAAACAGATACGGGTTGACTTTTGTCAACAATATCCCACAACCAGAATTGACAAACATGACTGAAGAAAACTCCTATCAATGGCCCGTGTTTCAAATTGCTAGCAAGTTTGGATACATCAAGAAAACATTCTATGGTACATTATTTGATGTGAAAAATCAAAAGGAGAAAGCAGTTAATATTGCTTATACCAACACATTTTTACCTTTACATATGGATTTATTGTATTATGAATCGCCTCCAGGTTTACAATTACTACATGCCATTCAAAACTCAACATTGGGTGGTGAAAATATCTTTTGTGATTCTTTCCTTGCTGCAGAACATGTTCGTCAAGTTGATCCTGATGCATACACTGCATTAACAAAGATTCCAATCACTTATCATTATGATAATAATAATGAGTATTATTATTATAAACGTCCATTGATTATTGAAGATGCAGAAATCGGTGCTGGTTTTCCTAAAATTTCTGCTATTAATTATGCTCCACCTTTCCAAGGACCTTTAGAACATGGTATTGAAAAATCAGATCCTAATTATTCAATGTTTGATGACTTCATCCGTGGAATGAAATTGTTTGAGACTTATATTAATGAGCCAGAAAATCATTTCGAAATCAAAATGAAGGAAGGTTCATGTGTGATTTTTGAAAATAGACGTGCTTTACATTCAAGAAATGAATTTTCTGACCTGAACAACGGTGATAGATGGTTAATGGGCACCTATGTCGATGGTGACAGTTTTAGATCAAAACTACGTGTTGGATACAGAAAATTCTTAATCAATAAAAATTAAGTAAAATACACAAATATACAAAATAAAAGATTTTTTAAAATTTTTAGAAGTATTCTTTATTGAACAAATGAGATGGTTGAACTAGTAACCACCGTAGTTGTAAGTTTGAGGTTGCAGCATGTTTTTGACTGTTTGTTTGAAACCATTACATAAACTTATCATGTTTGGATAAGTGAATGTTTTCAAAATGTACCCATTAACACAGGTTTTGACATGCCATGTTACCACTTTAGTATTACTGTTGATCTTGAACAACAACAAGAAATTACCAGGCAGTTTATGATCATAACAAAAGGCATAAGCCGAACTCTTTGGATTGGCTCTGGTGTATGATTCCAACCATTCGTTGACAACAGTCATGGTACCTTCTCTGAATTTCCCGTTGTGAACCATGGATGAGACATTCTTAGCAATAACTTGAATATGTTGGAAAATCAATTGATCCAAGTCTTGATATCTTTGACCTTCGACATAATATTCTCTGGATCTACCTCTACTTCTTTCTTCAACCAAAAGATGCTGGAATAAAGTAGGTGCCACTTTCCATGTGATGGTCAAAAACTGTGGTCCCTTGGATGATGGACGTATCACACAATCACCCACTTTTTGTGGCGCCAAATATTCTTCGGCTTGTCTAAAGTTGAAATTACGGAACAATGGATGTTGAACATTTCTGGTTTTAGCAAGTTTGGCATTTTCTTTTGCTCTTTCTTTAGCGATATCAGCATCTTGGGCTTCGAAATCCCATTTACCATATTGATGTTGAACAGAAGGTGCCATTGCCCTTTTAATGTCTTCCTTTCTCAAGCTCAACACAGCTGTGAAAGAGTCAGTGTATAATTCAAGCAACACACCTTGGACAACTTGTCCTTCCTGGTATTCAATATTTTGTGGAATTTGACCTTCATCAATTCTACCTTGAATCAAAGATGGGGTGATAACACGCATACCCTTGACTCTTCCGTATGGATCGTTGTAGTTTTTAGAAATCTTGACAATAGTAATTGGAACCACCGTGTTTCTCAATTCATATGCATGTTCACCAGTTAAGATAAAGAAAGCATCATCGTTGTTCAATATTCTGAATGGTTGTCTAGCTTCTTCATATCTATTGATCAATTCTTGTCTAATGGCTTGTAATGTACGCAACTTCTTCTTGTGTGATCTCTCTTCTAATCTTTGAGCAAAGGAAACCAAGTCCAAACTATTAAGTTTTTCAGGATCATCTTTAATCAACTGTCTGACAACCCCACCTCTACCATCCTGGTTCATGACCATGGCGTCTTCTTCATCAATACCAAGAGCATCAGAAGCCATTTTCTTGGCCAAATCATAATCTTCTGGATGAATTCTTGTAGAATCTAAAACTTCAATACCATAATCAGAGGATGTAATCGTTTTGTCAACCACAACATTAAGTGAAGATGCACAATTGATGAAAATGTTAGCGGAAGTCAATTCAGATTCAATCAAAGCACTTCTATTGACCAAAACACCATACAAGTGAGAGTTGATATTTCTCAACAATCCAGATGCCTTACGAGGACCCAATCCACCGACATATTGCATCATTTGTGAAACACGAGTACTACGGGTAGCATCATTGATCTTAACACCAACAAGATTGACCATATCAACAAATGCGGACTCGATGGATTCTTTTATCAAATCTGTAGGGATCAATTTTTGATGTGGATGGAAAGTCAAGGACAAGATGTCATCACCTAAAGTTACATATTCCAACAATGGATCTTGTACATATCTACCCAATGCAATTGCATACTTAACCAATGGCGGTTTATCTGGGAATTCTTTGCTGGCTCTTTCAGAATTTTGATACAAACGAGCAGTTTCATCTTGTCCCCATATAACTTGAACAGGAGCAGAATTATCATCGTATTCATCTTTAACGGCACTAGTTCCAAGTTTGTTCTCTGCCACAATATTACAAATAATGTCATAAAGTTTCTTGGTGTTGGCATTGAAACCAGACACAACAATAACATCCGGCTTCTCTGATCTAAACAAGTTATCGTATTGCTCAAGGAACCATCCTTTAAAAACGTCTTCAGTTTCACGATTTCTGATTGGATTTTCATTTGACTTGAGTGTATGGACAATTTTACCATTGTCTCTCATATACACACCAATAACAGCACTATCAAAATCACCTTTACCAAAAGTGATTGACAAAACATTTGCTGTGGAACCAAATTCAAAACCAAAAGCTTGGAGTGGCGCTTGGTCAATTCTGTTAACAAGACCTCTTTTCACTTGATTGGCAATCAATCTTTCACATTCACGACGAAGATCTTCTTTGGTATTTAATGCAACCATGGAACACAATTTCTTGAATGCCATTCTCAACACAACTTCTCTCTCTTTGTTCCATCTTTCAGAAACGTCTGAAGAACCATCTGATTTGAAACAGTTGAAAATACTTTCAAACCAGCTATTGTAATCTCTAGTCTCAACTACTATAACTCCTAAACCCAATTTTTCAGCTTCCAACATTCTCAACAATACATCAGGTTTGGTGACCAAATCAACTGGGTCTCTATTGATAGCGTATTTGATGTCAGCATATGGACTATGGTTATCAATGGTAGCTCTACCCTTTTCAGTAACAACAAAATTGATTGAGGTGTACATCTTGTAAGTCTGACGAACTTCTTGTCTAATTCTTGGATTATGGAAGATTTCTTCAGCAAATGTTTTTCTGACAGCATCTCTTGCGATTTTTTCATCTTTAAACATGATTTCGTCATCTTGCGCCAAACGTTGAATCAATTCTTCTGGCGATTCCCAGGAGTCATCAGTAGCATGAATTCTGTACGGAACTTCAAAACCTTTGGAACTTTGATCTTGAACATTTTCACCAAATTGCTTGGCGGTGATACCATAGGCATTGACAGCATCGTATAAAATATTGGACTTGATTCTTTCATAAAGTGTAACCTTCATATGCTTTCTTGGTTGAGATTTCGCATTATCCTCGTTGTTCTCCAGATCATCTGCCCCTTGTGAAGATGCTTTTTCTCTTATTTCCTTAGAGTAAGTGAATTGTATATAATCATGTACATCTTGAACAGCAACCATAGTATCCAACGATTTGATATCCTTGATCAAATCATCATCTAAATCCAATGAGTCAACCAATTTCTCAGCATTCAATCTCTTTTCATAAAGTGTATGGTATTCAATATCCAATTTAACTATTCTCCACAAATCATCTTCGTTAAACAATCTAATTCTATTGTTTGGATCATAATCTGGAACGTATTCTAAATAGTCTAGACGGTGAGTATTGATAAAGGGGACTTCAAGGTTCTCCTTGGAGATGAAATCAATAATGTTACCAACACATTGCTTGTATGATTCTTCAGCACCTTCAGGGAGAGGTGTAGATCTTTCACGCATCATGGCATCACTTACCCAATTCTTTTCCATTTCTAGTTCTTCACCTTCCAAGTCAATATATGTCAAAGTGCTACGGTACTTTTGGTATCTCTCAGGAACATCAATAATACGAATAAGATTATCTTCATCGGTCAACATACGTTCTTTCAATTCAGAATGTTCAAAAACTTCATCCAAGGTAGCAGGTTCTTCTTTATCCAAATTACCTGAATCTTCCATTTCTTGAGCTTCCAATGCCCAATCATATTCATTACCATCACCAAAAACTTCGAATAACTCTTGTAAACTTTGTCGATCGACACTAGATAATTTGGAAGTATCAATTCTTGCTCCTTTCTTCTTCATTTTCTTCTTTTGCTCTCTTCTTGCACGCTGAGCTTCTTCATCTTCATCGGAAAACTCATCTTCCTCTATGAAATCATCAAATTCATCAACGATATTGTTTCTAGCACGAGATCCTCTGTCCTCATCCTCATCTAAACCTTCTTCATCTTCATCGTCTGAAAACATATTACGCATTCCACTTGACTCTCTATTCTGATATTGTTGTTGATTGGACTCAACAACATCATCCTCATCGTCCTCAACATGCTTTCTCTTTAATTTCTTAAACTTAGATTGACGTGAACCTTGAAGACCTGAATTTTCTAATAATAATTGTAAATCATCATCATCCAATGCATCATCACGATCTTCATTCAGTCTTTCTCTTCTTCTTTTCTTATGCTTTTTCCTCTTTCTTGTTTCGATTTCATCTTCATCATCATCGACAATGAAACCTTCACGAACTTTTTGAATTTCTTCTTCGTCATCGTCATCATCGTCTTCTTCTGAAGAATCAACTATTTGTTCTCTGAGATCATCTCCTTCACCCTCAGATTGAGAATTGTCTTCGTGATTATTACGTTCAATTTCGTCTTCCAGTGCCATGGCAATTGTAACGATTTATAAAATGCAATATAATCAAAACTTGTGAAAAAAGATTTTTGATTCTTGATTCAAATCCGTACTACTTAGACAAAATCAAAAATGCCCTTTGTCTAATCTATCAAATACCTTCAAATGTAGATTAAAAAGTAACGGGACAATAAACAAATAAATCTTCTTATTGTTGATTGGAAAATTTCACTCTCAACAAACTGTTGGTCTTCGTTTTGATGTTTTTTTTTCTTTCAACACAACAATGTTGGAGCGAAAAAAAAAATCTTTTGATGACAATCTGGGTCGTGTATAAAGGTACAAATATAATTATGAACTTTTACTTTACTTAACTACTTATTGATTTGTCTGTTTAACTTCATGTTAAACTGTTTATTCTTTTCATTGATAAAATTATCAACAACCTCTTCATCTTTAGCATTGCGTCGTCTTTTCATTCGTTTGTCATTAATATCAGATAAGAATCGAACTACTTCAACTTTGGTTTCTGCGTCAGGATGATTCAGTACATCGACTATGCTCGACGATTTATCTTTGCCTGAATCTTGTTGATTCAATAGTAATTCCTTTTGGTTCTTGTACGATTCTTTATCCACCTTTAGTTTATCAATGCGTTTGTAATATGTCAGTTCTGCCAAATCGTTAAAATTGGCTGATCCATCCAGTTTCTTCTGTATATGCCATTTCTTGGAATGTGATTCTTTATTATCATCTTCATACTCATTATAATGATTGGACTCCTTTTCTTTTTCCTTTTTAGATTTTATGGATGCAATACGTTGGTTCTTGGTGTACTGGAATAGCTCCTGTCGATTTAGTTTCTGTGCCTCTTTTCTCTTTGCCTTTAGGGATTCTAGTCTCAGGAGTATATCTGACTTTATGGATGGATTTATATCAGTCATACTTTGTTGTCCAACTTGTTATTGATTGAATTGATGTGTCTTGATCTGCTACTTTGATTTCTCAGAATCTTTTTTTTTTTTTTTTTTTGGTTGTCTGGCTGTATGAGGAATGGAAATAACGGAGATTAGACTTTCTTCTTTCCTCCTTTCTTCCCTCCTCCACCCGCACTTTATTTTCCGAGTTACACGCATTGTTTTTATTAGACCCCCGATCAGACCGATAGTTGACACGGTCTGTGGTCTGCAATGATGATAGTCCACTTCATTGTTGATAAAAAAAAGATGTTCTCCCGAGTCTCGGGAACGGCTCAAAAAAATAAAAGGATAGCTTTATGTATTAGTATGATGTTAGGCTACATGAAGCAAAGACACTGCCGCCTCACAACCCCTTGACAAATTTTGAGTTGCCCATTTGATTACTAAAAAATAAATAAAAACTCAAAGGTGCATACAACCCACACCGGGGTAGTAGATTTATGTTGCCCAGCGTATAAATATCGAACCATTTTCCTTTCTTCTATTCGATTGCGTTCGCTATTTGTTTGCCATTTTCCTTCTTTTTATTATTTTGTCAAAATATTTAATTTCAGAACCATATTATTTCCCATCCATTTGTATTATTAAACTATGACTGAAGAGTTAACCAAAGAACAAAAGTTCTATCAATACGTACGTGATTTGCCCGAGGAAAAATTGAACCAAATAAGGGGCAATCCACAAGCAGTATTGCAATTATACGACAACTACCCGGAAGGATTTATGAATATTGGTCTTTACAAAGGTGAGGTTATACTTAAAGAAATTAAAAAGAAGAACCCCGAAGTTATGATTGAATTAGGTGGTTATTTAGGATATTCAGCTATTTTATTTGGAGGCCAATTACAAGAATTGAACAAGGCTGCAAAGTATTATTCTTTTGAAGCCAACCCTGATTATGCTAAAATTGCCACTCATATGCTTGAATTAGCTGGTGTTCTGAATGTGGAAATTATCATTGGCAAAGCTTCTTTCACTTTACCTGAGTTCAGAGAACGTATTTTTGAAGACAAGTATTCCCCATTGAATTTTATTTTCATTGATCATTGGAAAGATTTATATGTGCCGGATTTGAGAGTATTGGAATCTCTTAATTTGATTGCACCAGGAACTGTAATTGCTGCTGATAATATCTATCATCCTGGTGCTCCAGATTATGTTACATATGTCAACATGTCGCCTGAAGAAAAGAACATATTTAACCAGCACAATAAAAATCCCGAGGGTAAGCAATACACGGGAAGATGGAATATTTTGTATAAAACTGAAACAATTCCAGTGACCAACCCAAAGAGTGGGTTCAGTGATGCTGTTGAAATTACCAAATGTGTAGATTTTTTGTCGGGCTAAACAACGAAAGATTGATAATATACTCACACACACGTAGAAATTTTGATAGTTATTGGTGCGGGACAACCAAGCCAGTGTAGACAAAAAGTGAAAAAAAAAATAATAGCAACACAAACTTTCACTCCCAAATGACAACTCATCCTCTTTGCTTACATCGAAATATATCATGACTGATTTGACACCTTTGTTTAAACAATGTGTTGAGATTGTTCAATCAGAATACAAAACATCACCAGATATAAAGACCTACAAACAACCTCCATATATCCTTAAAGACACGTTTATTGAAGAGTCTCATGATTTCTATAAAGTGATAATCAATCTAAATCAATTCATCAATGAAATAAAATCCAACTATTTAGCCATAAATGATGATACTAAAGTTTCGGGATCATTAACTATAGAAGATAAGAATAAAATTGATGAAGAGTTTAATTTTAAAGTTCAACAAATGTATAAACAATTAAATCATTTGGAAGCATATGAAACAAAACGTGAAAAATTGATTCCTTCAAAACAACAATCAACTGGTTGGTTTAGTTTTTTAGAAGATGAACCAAATGATCAAGAAATTTATTTTGAAACCATTTCAACTCATAGAAAACAAATATTAAGATTTTTAATGGATTCATTAAATATTGTCAGTAAAAAATTCGAAGTTATTCAACAACGAAGAATCAGTCGTGAACGACAATTAAATTTATTAAATTTCCAAAATTTTGAAGATGATGAAGATTTAAATGTTGATGATAATTTTCCTTTACCTACTTTGGATCAAATTCAACAATCACCTGCAGATGATGATAAAGAATATCAATTGGATCTTTCTCAACAACAAATTCAAGAATTGGAATTGGAAAATCAAGAGTTTTTAAATATGAAGACTAACCAGTTGAAACAAGTGGAGAAAGTACAACAATCAATTGTTGATATTATAAACATTCAAAATGAATTATCTTTCAAATTACAAAGTCAAGGTGATCAAATTGGAAATTTAATGGATACTCATGCACAAGTTGAAACAGAAGTTAAAATGGGTAACAAGACGCTAAATCAAGCTACTAAAAAGAATAAAAGGGGTGCCAATATGTTGGTTACTCTATGTATCGTACTTGGTTTATTAATGTTGTTAATAGACTATATATCAATTTTCTGAAGAACTAAAATCTACAACAGTACCAGCTCCAATAGTAACACCTTCTCTTCTAATAACAATTCTTCCAAGAATCTTGTTATCTTCATATTTGGTCAACGGAAGGGTTTTGTTGCCATCTAATTCTATTTCAACTATGGCGGTTTGTCTTGAAACTAAATGTAAAATCTTTTTCTTCTTCTTTTTACTATTGACAATCTCAATGATTTTAGAAACTCTTGCTGGAACTTGGGTATTATTTCTGAACAAAACAAATGGCATACCCACTAACAATGGTTTATCCATATTGAATAAATGAAGCGAAGCAATGAATTTATTGACAGTCTTCACTGGTGAGCCGGGTTTGGTCAATAAATCACCAATTCTAATTGGATCAGAATCTTCATTTTCAAGATGACTAGTTTTGAAAGCAAAATGAGTTAATTCTCCACTAATGGCAAAATCCACTGGTTTTTTAGAAACCTTCAAGGATTGCACTTGCAATGATTCATGACTTGGTAATGCAACAATTGTCTCACCAGCTGAAATGACCCCACTGGAGATTTTACCACTGACTTTAAGTTCACCTTTATCTTTGTACACATCATGAACAGAAACAAAAAATGGTTCCGAAGTGACTTTGTCTGAAGTTTTTTCAAGTTCAACATTCTCAATATACTGGGCAAGGGTTGGACCATTATACCATTTGAATTCTTGGATGGAGTCGTCACGTTTGACAACATTGTTACCAGTCAAACCTGAAATTGGAACAAAATCAATTTGATCTGGTCTAAATTCAACATCGGGTCCAGTTAAAAATTCAGTCATTTGGGTCTTGATGGCGTCAAATCTATTTTCATTCCAATCTTCTTTATCCATTTTGTTTACAGCAACACATATTTTCTCAATACCAAAGTTCTTGGCCAAAATCGTATGTTCTTTAGTTTGTCCGTCCAAGGCAAACCCAGCTTCAAATTCACCAGAAATGGAATCAACCACCAATAACGCAAAATCAGCTTGGGAAACACCGCCAATCATTTGTGGAACGAAATCCTTATGGCCAGGTGCATCAATTGCAGTGAATTTAGTGGTTGAAGTTTCAAAATCTGTGGCACAAATATCAACAGTAACACCATGGGATCTTTCCTCTTCAGTTTGATCCATAACCCATGCCAATGCAAATGACCCTTTACCTGCCTTTTCGGCTTCTTTGACTAACTTGTTAACGGTTTTCGCATCAACAATTCCAAAATCAAATAAAAGTCTTCCCATTAAAGTTGATTTACCAGCATCAACGTGTCCAATAACAACAAATGATTTTCTTGGTTTAATATAATCGGAGGAAGAAGCAATTTCTTTGGCAATATCAATCTTCTTAAATGGTTTGGTTTCCTTGGGTTTTTTAGATTGTTGTTGATCAGGTGTGATTTTAAGATTTTTGACACCTTCAAAAGCTTGCTTCTGAGCTTCCAAAACTACATCATCTGGAGATGGTTTAGCAAAGTTTTCTTTGACTTTGGTGATTTTTTCTAGGGATAAGTTTAAGTTAGTAATTGGATGAAAAATCGAGTCATATAATCGTCTTCGTTTCTGTTCATTCTCCACACATTCGGGCTGTCTATCGTGAAACAAAAATATGGATACATCTCTTTTAGGTTGTCTTGTCACTATTGATTCATCGAGTTTGATATCAAATATAATCTGAGGAGTGGTTTCTCTCTTCAGTGTAGTGGTTGCTATGGGTATCAGTGACGGTACTGGTGATGGACTAGTCTCTTTTGTAGATTGTTTCTTGGTGAAAATCAATGGTTTACGAGGTAATTGTTTCTTGTGTTCTGATGGTGGGGTAGTACTTGTTAGTCTGTCAAGAATGGCAACCGATCGTGGTGTTGTTGTTGTGGTGGTGGTGGTGCTTTCTGATGATAGATTATTAGATTTTGATCTTGCATTTGCTAATGCTGCTAGTTTAGATATTGGTTTTGATTGTTCTTGGGGTTGATCTAGGTTGATGCTTTCTTGTGATTCTCTTTGTTTCGATCTGGCTCTCGCCAATTGGGCTAGTTTCGACATCGTTGGTAGTAGTAAAAGTTTGTTGATCGTTGGTGCAATTTTTTCTTCTTTTTCTTTTTTTCAGGCTGATTTTTTTTTTGTTGTTGTTTTTGCTCTTTCTCTTTAGGTTAAATCAGAGAGAACGATGAAGAACGTGGAAGAACAGGAAAGTTGATAAAGACAAGGTAATGGTTAGTTAATACGTACTTTTCTTGAATTTTGATTTCAATTCTTCGATGGCAGGATCTATTTCAAAATAATTGTAATACAAGGCTTCTTTTAAATCATAATCTGGAATATCATCATTGTAATCTTTTAATTTTTTCTTCAACTCCGGAAGCATATCATGTAACAAATCATATTCTTCGTTGTTTAATTTGTTTTCATCAAACTCTTCTTCTTCTCCTTGTGAATTATAATCCAAATCGTCGTCGTCGTAATCCATGGTATCCTGAATTAGTTGCTGTTGTATAACTGTAAGTATCAAGTGATATATTGTGGATTGGAATTTTTTTTTTTTTTTAATTTTTTTTTTTTTTTTCGTTCTATCAATTGGACCTGGAACATCGTGCAAGAATTACCAAGGCATTATTATGACCATGATAATGGCAAGTTGCAATTCAGAAGTACTATTTCTATAGTAATAAATATGTATTAATTGTTTATAAACATTTTTCTAATTCTATTCGACAAAAGCATATTTGGATTTCTGTCTTAATTTCTTACCATACTTCAAGAAAAAAAATGGGACAGGTAATAACAATGCCCCAAGGCACCCCAACAATGTGATTGCCCATTTAATGGTTAAATTGTTAAACATTTGACGACTAAACAAGGGGAAAGCGCATGCCAAACATGATCTCACAAAAGTATTGGCTGCCATGGCACTTGCAGAAACCACCAAAAAGCAATCAATAATATAATTGAAACATGGCAAGAAGATGGTGATCAATCCATTTCCGATAAATGCAACTGCGATTGTTGGTACTATCCAATGCACATGTTCAGCATAATCACCACACCAACCAAACCAGAAAAGACCAATAATGAAACTGAATCCTCCAATGATTAAAGGCTGTAATTTTGCTTCTGGGTCTAGTTTGCCTTGTTCTCTAGCAATTCGCTGGAATTTTATATCATATAATGTAACAATTCCAGCACCTATAATCTCTCCAATTAACATTGACAAATATGGCAATTCAGCAACTCCCATTGAAAAATGATATCTGCCTTCAAAAACTGTAGGTATGGCTGTCAAACAACAATACAATATTGCATACACAAATCCATTGTACAAGGAAGCAAAGAAAAGAATTGGTTCTGTTACCAACATTTTAAGTGGTCTAGCAACGTTATTTTCGATAATTTCTCTAATACTCAATTTAACTTCTTCATGAGCAGCATAAATTCCCCAATTTCCCGTTCTTCTTCTCAAATCTTCTGCTCGTCCAACCAAGATCAATGGATGATGGGTTTCTTCCAACACAAAAGCATTCATTACCAATGATAAAGCCCCTATAATACCACAGAAATAAGAGGTCCATCTCCATCCTAAAGAAGAATTCTTAACTGTGAATCCACCAAATATTGGACCGAGCATAGGACCACCAAATAAAACCATTGAAAATACGGTAATGGCTCTTCCTCTTGATTTACTGTTAAACATATCAGCTAAAATAGCAGGAGATAAAACATATGAAGCTGAACCTAGGAATCCTGCAAAAAAACGGCAAATGATAATAGTTTGTATATCCTTGCCTGTAGCAACAGCAAATGAAAAACATTCGTATAAAAACCCCGATAGAATCATAATTATTTTCCTTCCAAATAATTCACTTAAAGGGCCCCAGAAAACGGGTCCCGATGCAAACCCAAATATAAATAATGAAGTACCTAATGAAGCTACAGTCCAACCCACATGATAGGTTTCCATTATTTGCTCAGTTCCTTGAGAAAACATAGCCGATCCTAAAGAAACACTAAGAGGGGCAATAACCACCGATATACCATAAAGGAGTTTCTTCCATAATGGAAAATTATATGGATGATCTGGATCATTAGGACCATTAAAACAAACCTCATAAGGTTGTCTTGATGGTAACATTGGGGGATATGGTCTCCCATCACCCATTGGCGGTAATGGTTTCAGTGATGTTGATGCAGTTTGATATACTGATTCAGTATTCATTATAAGTTGAGACTCTTTACGTGATAGTATTGAGTTTGTGTCGATTACTTCATCATCGTTGGTGTTTCTTCTTTGCGTAAGAATGGCTTCTTCATTAGGACCGTGGCCTTGAAACGGTTTTATTTCTTCGTTTTCAGTAGATGAAGTTGACATTGTGAAAACTTGGGATTGAGAAACCAACTTTTTGTTCAAATTTGGTCTTAATTTCATGATAGCTAATGTGGTGGTATTTATATCTTGCCTATGTATAAAAAATATAAGGTTTATAATAATGAGAAAATTGCCATGTATTAAAATAAGGTTGGTAATTGAAAAGCGATGAAAATTATTAATCCCTCATTGCAATATTATATTGGACCGGAAATTACAACCTTAGTTTAGGTTAGCATTACAAAATTGGTACGGATAATTAACGTCAAATCTTCATATTAATTTATCCAGTCAAAGAAATATCGGCGGTTGTAGTGGCGTTGGCATAGAAGAACGGATAATGAATAGACTGAACAATAAGAAGTTGAACCTTATGTTAGATAAATAGAATGTGTGAGTGGGTGGATTTCTTATGTAGAACGATCATAAACTGTTGCAATTAAATTAATAACGTCTACAGTTTTAATTTTGCAACAATGGACTGGCATTGGTCTACACACATGTAAAGAGGCTAACTTTGGTTGTGAAATGAGATATGTATCAAAACCAAGTGGTTTTTATTTTTATTTTTAGAAGAAATTCGTAACCATTTTTTAACAAAACATAAAAGTAAGAAATAATCAAAAATCCAATTTTCCAAGTAAACCTTACAATTCCAATGATGTATAGCCTTCTTATGAATGCTCATTAGGTTATGATGGAATCCATTACGTCGTTCTATACATTAAACTTTCTGAGTCATTAACGTTTGTTGTTGATTGCCAAATCAAAAGTGCGGCTTGGTGAAAAACTTCCCAATTGGGTTTTAACACCGAAGACGGCCCTAAATTGTAACCTTCTCTCTCACACACATCCCGTCCATCCATCCACAAAACAAACATGGTAATAATCAAGACGATGTTGCAATTTAGTACTAATTTAAAAATACTCAGAAATAGATCACACATAGTAAATGTATGTAGAAGAAGCTTCCTCGGTTAATTCCTATTAGCGAAGGTTGCGTAACCAGCGCAAGGATTTACTTATGTTATCTGCATTAACTTACAGGCAAATCAATTACAAAAACCCTCATCCAAGGTAAAAAGAATGATGCAAGAATACCCACACGCCTACATAGCATACCGACCATGAATCAGGAGGGGGCAGGGGGGTTGGATTAGCCCGCCTAAATTCAATTCCCCGATTAGATGAAACATAAAATTAGTTCATATTGGAAATCATTTTGATAAATGATCATGATTTGCTAGTGGGTTCAAACTCGCCTCTAATTCTTTGATATCCTTGATGTTTCAGTTTTGATATAAAATGAGTTGATCTTCTTATATAAAAACTATCAAAAGAATATCTATGTATTAAGGTGAATTCATGCACTGCTAATCACGTAAAGGCAAAAAAAAAAAAAAAAGAAAAAGACAAGAATTAGAAATGGTAATATAATAATCACACATTGTGATGACAAGACAAAGGTGTCATATCCAATGCATTACATACCAGTCGTCAACTATAGACGAAGGAAACTAAATACTGTCAAACCGTTCTAATTCGTGTATATACAGAAAATTGAATAAAATAACGAATTTTCAATAAAGGGAAAATTCCAGACCTGAATTCCAATGATTCTCAATCTCATTGCAATCTGAAACTAAAGGGGTTCTCTTTTTTATTTCACAATTTAAATGGATAATCTGATGCTTAATCGCCTAAAACAGTATAAATATTGGACGACCCTTTTGTCTGTCTCTCTCTCCCCCAGTTGCACCCTTTGTCTCAAAAGGAAATGTCAATTTAATTCGTTATGTCGACAAACGTTGATGTACAACTACAAGCGATGTAACCGCGGGGAGGAGTGCGAGTGAGATAATTACAGTTCCCGCCCTGAATTCTTGGTTGTTTAGATGAGCTGGAATACGCCCTGATTGGATTTCTCCATCATATTTTTTTTTTTTTTTAATTTTCAGGTTCAGCCGAGGGTCACACAAAACTTTCTGGTAGCACAAGAAATATCACGGGCAGAAATTTATCACTAACCGTTAATCAATGTTATGAAAACACACCAGGGGACTATATCGTCTGAGAACACGGTTAATATTGGTAATAATGGAATACATTATCTGTTTAAAAGAAGAACATATGTACAATGTCAACAATGATTATGAGAAGTTGGCATATAATTCTCTCATATGCAAGTTTCGGAGAAAATCTCCTAACGGAAGAGCAATATGTAATAGAACAAACAAATGAAAAAATAAAAAGAATGTTGGGATGATAATTACTTCAAACATTGTTGGATTTCTTTTTTTTTGGTGAATGTAAGCCACTACCTGCTTGAAGTAAGGATAGTTACCCATACAAATGTGCTTTATGCATGCAATATGGAATACAGTTTAGATGAGGAACACACAGGTATTCATTTTCATTGTTCATTGCGACAATCCATACATTGCGGATCAAATTTAAATAAAAAAATAGAAGTTGATCAAATGCTTAAAAACAAGTAGACCTACAAAAGGTTTAGGTTAACACAGGAATGTTCTCTAGAAGGCATTGTTCCTACGGTTGTTGGTTTGTTTTCATTTCATCGTGGACTTCCGGCTTAGACAATGGAATACATTAGATAATCCATCAACAAAACACAGAAACCTGATATAACAAAAATTATTCGGAAAACCCTGTAAATCATTCTTACAATATGTGATTCTCCTTACCAGGAAACAAGCACAATAAAAAAAAAAAAAAAACAGGGGATCATCATCGTCATCACCTGAAACTGGTAGTATGAAAATCTGCGCAAGGTATTAAACTGATATGGTTTTGTCTTTTTCTTCTTTCTTTCTTTCACTTCCATCTATTGTCTTAAAAGATATTATTATTATTAGATGAAATTTGTAGTCATTTACTAAATCATCAACATGTTATGCCTTACAACTGCCTCCTTTTTTTAATTATTTAGCTCATCTCATAGGTGGGCATGGCAAAAAGAATGAGAAAAAAAAATTTTTTTTTTCACTTTTTCATTAAATTAATACACAAAATTAAACCAGAAAGGTGTTAGTTAATTAATTCCACTTCCTTTTTTTTTTCATTTAACATAAAGTGAATATTTTATTGATAGGTTGTCCATGCACCATGTCAACATTCTTGGAACCCCGTTTACTTCACAACAATACAACAGAAACTTCTTCTATCATGAAGAACCCGTTAAACATTTTTTTTCTTTATGTATGGTCAACAACAACAACAACAAATATATATCTTTCATTCTGAGTTGAAACGAAAAAACGAAGGAAGAAAACAAGGATAAAACAAATAATTGTACACAAGACGTGAATGAATCAATAAACCCAAGCAGAACAATAGCATTGCAGTATCGTGTGTACTTAAGTTTGTGTAATACCACACAAATACCCACATTGCAGATATTGAAAATAATTTTTATTTTTTTATTTTTCGTTTTGGCCCCCTTGCTTTGTTCAGGTACAAAGGGGTCACAGTAAAAATAAAATGAAGCATATACAAAAACCAAAAAAGGTAAAAGGTTCTAGGTTTACTTCTCTTGTGATAGATATACTTTGTGGCTTTCAAATAAATAAATAAATATAAGGGTATTTGAACATCATAAAATGTTGAAGACGTGGCATGGAATATCGCCAGAACAGTTTCTCATGCATTATCAACCAGTTTATACTTGCCCAACACTTGTAATTCTGTTGATTGGTTATGTTTCTGTCCCGTTTTAATTTTTCTTTAATATACTTTACATACAAGGGGTTTTTCTACTTGTAATTGAAAATTCCTAACTTCAGAAAAAGAAAGAAACACCCATTGCTACATATACTTTTCACGTATCAAGTACTTTATTTTTGTTAATAATGAATAATGCATGAGGATCAGTATTGCATAAAATAACCCTCATTACGTCTTTCACTCAACAAGTAGATGTACTATAAATTAATCAGAAAACAAAGTTATTTGGCGATTTACATTGTTAAAAACTGACCCTTTATCCTGTACTTTATTGTTGATCCCTAGTGGCAATGGGCGATCTTTTACGTGTGTGTATCGTCTTTATTTATTTTTTTTTTAGTTCTTTATTCTCTATTAAGCCACTTCGTTCATTCGGTAAACCAAATAGTGTTTGAATTTCAAGTTAGAATGTGTGTGATGATGGTATGTTTATTAACATAAGATTAATTATAAAATTACTGGTATCGCTGTTGTATTCAAGAAATAAAGAAAAAACTGCAGGGCTTTCACACTTTATCTATTATCTTCTCCACTATTGTTTAAAGTTGAATCCCTCTTCATCACCGCAACACGTAACCAATTACTGAACTTTTTTATGTAATAAGTGGGGATGAATAATTTGAATAATAAATTCCATAAATTGATGTATTACATTACACACAAAGTAAAATTTACATTCCTTGGAGAAAAAAATTTTTTTTTTAATTAATTATTTTACTATCTTTCTATTATTATTGAATGTTGTTATTGCAACAGATTTCACAATCATTCCTCTTCTCTCCTTAAGCTTCATCTGCTTGACAAGGGTTCTTGTATATTTTCTGTACCTCTGTTTTCTTCATTTCTTTGTGTATTTATTCTAAAATGGAAATGGATTGGTTGTGGTGTTTTTTTTTGTTATCGTGTAATATGGTTTGTTACCCATGGTATTTCTCTTAATCTTGACAAATGAATTATTACTTATGCACATAGATCATCAGTCAATGGTGAAAGCTAGAATCATTAAAAGAATGAAATTCAAAAAGTCTAGACTATTTTCATAGCAATTGTGGATTTTTTTTTCTTCTTTGGCTATAGTTTTAGTTTATTACTTGGATTTATTTCAGGATTTACATTATTAAACCAACACTGCCATATATGCTAATGACAACACATGACAACAAAATAAAACTGTTAGATTATGCTGAGGGGTCCTTTGCTATATTAATTTGTTGTATGATTTTGCCCTGAATCCCAAATTGGGAATAAATGAAATGTAATAATGAACACAAAAAACACCGCTGATCGTACTAAAATAATCATTGGTTCCTTTTTTTTTTTGAAATCCTCCTGTGTTCCCCTTAAACTAAGTCTATAGCTATTTGAATCGTATGATTCTCATCATCATTTTTTATAACAGTCCTAATACTAGTTTATTATTCATTTAGTGGATGTAATGATATCTTTTAAACTTTTTTAATGATGAGGATGATGGTTCTTAAGCGACATTCCGGAATGAACAAACAATTCTTTTTACACCGTTTTAATTCCAAAATCATTTGGTTGGACGACCCTTTCATTATTATGATTATTATTATTAATTCACATGACAAGTGACAATATGTTTATGTAAGCCTGGTTTTGATGTACTTACCCCTTGGGTTATTGTTTTGATTTTTTCCCAATTCCTTTTTTTATTTCTTAGTTGTAGGTGAACGTGTGTTTGATTTACATTTGACTTATGATGCAACAATTCCAATTCTCCCAATTATTGCATATTGCATCATGTAATATTTCTATTCTAGTACACACTACAGCAATATGCCCCTGTTGTAATCAAAATATCAAGGGTAGGTTATTACATATATGTTGACCATTCTTATGCACTTTCGTATCAGTATGGTTGACGATACTCAATAAATAGTCTCTTTTTTTGATTCTGTAGAATTTTGTGATATACATCTTCAAAATGTTATTGGGGGCGTTTGATAATTTTTTTTAAAAAGCTACACGGACTCACATCATCAAGTTTCACTGATTGGTTTTGTTCCAACTAGTTTCATTACTGCAAACCCAAAAATTCAAAACCCATTTGTCATGAATATTGGCAATTTGAGGCGATATGATGTACAAACAAGAAAAAAAAAAATGAATAAATTGAAAAAAAAAAAGGTACACCAACCCTTACATGCGGTACCCAATCAACTGGGAAGGTTTACTTTATGAATTAAGTTCAGTTATAATCCACAGCATCTGCTTGCTTTTTCTTTTCAATGTTACAAACATGAAACTTGTGTTTTTGATTATTATATCACTTGATCATTATTTTTCTTATGTTTTTCTTTTTTTTAGTTAAAGCATAAGTAACCTAACATAACATAACACAACAAGTCAAGTTCTTTAGTTGTTTCATGATCTGCTTGATAATTTAGTGTGATCTGTTCCTTTCACTAATTCAGTTTGCTAGTTTCCAATCAACTAAATTCTTTGCCTGGTGATTCTAGAAATACATTTTTTTTTTTTTGATTTTGATTTTGAAAAAGGTACATTTACATAAATTTAATTCATTTTGAGTGAATCTAGAATCAAAATTGATTAATGGATAATAGCTCTTCCGGTGAAATAAAAATGAGGCGACCTTGCCCCCCTTTTTTTCTTTCTTTTAAACAAAACCTGTCTAATATACCTCTGTTGTTTATTGTTCCTATGAACCCTTGATTCAGCCAGATTTGATGGTGATGTTTTTCCCCTGTTTTTTTTATTACCCCTGTTCAAATTGAAATCTTAACTTTTTTTTCCCACTGGAGAAAAATGTCGTGTGTACCTGAATCAAAATGCATCACGTGCTGACGACAATGTCGAATCTTAATTTTTGTTGGGGAAATATCTGAAAAAAAAAAATGAGAAAATTACAACAAAGTATGATACCGCATAGAATAAACCCTTGATTTCGATTGAAGAAGAAGGCGCTACCCGGTATACATCACCAGAAAGGATGAATTTAATTGATTTGCCAGATCTGATTAAGAATAATATTATAAAATATCTTCCACAACAAGCATTAATTAATCTTTCTTTGACTAATTATAAATTTTATAAACCATGTCAACGTCAATTATACAAGAATATAACCATCATGGTAAATCCACCATTACGATGTAAATTGAAAAGAGAATTGGATTTTCAAGATTCTACTCAAACTATGATTTATGGATATGAATCTTTTAGGAATAAACAAACTAATTTAAGCATGGTTTATGCAAGAATTATGATTTTGATTCAATCATTAACTATAAATGTTGAATTAATGGGATATATTCAACTGATTTGTGTTATTGGAGACTTACAAAAAGATTTTAATGATAATGATGATATTGTCACTGCATTGGTGAAATTAGTTGGAATATTGCAAGAATTGGACCGATTTTATATCAGTGATTATAAATTAAGACAAAAACTTGATTTATCCAAGTTGAGATTAAAATCATGGATAGTTGATGACATTACGGAGTTATCAAATGATCCGAAGATAACTGAATTATTGATTGGAGAGAATAAAGTCATGAAGAATTTCGATGAATTTGCATCAAAATTAACATCATTGATTTTACCTGATGATGCCAACAAATATTGGGATTGGATTAGTACAAATTTATTTAATTCAAATAACAAAAATGATCTTATCTTACCAAATGTAACTCGATTTAAGTTTGTATTTAATTTTGATATGTCATTAAATGCAAGATTATTGAAACTAATAAATTGGAATCAACTTAAAGAATTGGAATTAATATTTGGATATAAAGATATAAATGATGATGATTATGTTATTGATTGTCTTAATATGATTCCAAGCACACCAAATTTGAAAAAATTATCAATTATTCAAGGTCAATTATATCCAACACATGAACAAAATGAATTATTTGATTTAAATATATTCACATTTTTGGAACATTTATTGGCTATTGCCGATTTGAAGTATTTGTCAATTAAGCATAATGTACATCCTCTTGGAAATTTACCTGATGGAATGGATGGATATTATAAACGAAGATGGAATTTATTTATGATTGTATTGCCCAAAATTATTAATAATCATAATATAATCCTTGTTTTACCAAACTTATTTCAAACATTTGCTGGATATGAACAACACATGAATACTGTTTTATGGATTGGGTGTAAATGTCCTCATTGTAAGATATATCTTGAATTAATTGATGAATTTTTATTATATCATAAGTATTATGATAAAGATTCCAAAAGATATAAGGATTTAAATGTACTGCATTTATTTAGTGAAATTGGACAACAGTTAAATTTAAGGATGATACAAGATGAATTACTAACTCAAATGAATCATTTGTCATTTCCTTTGATTAATCATCTTTGGGATTTCCATTCAAATACAAATAATCGCCCATTTAAATGTTATGATATTCAGACAGTTGATCAAGGAGAATATGATGATGATAATTATGATCCAAAAATCCCAATTCGTTGTTTATTTAATCAGCAGGTATATAAAGGTATTCCGGAGTCAATGAGCCATTATGTGAATACACTAGTCACAAAATTGATTAATTTGGATAGAGGTGATGCTGAAGCAAGAGATGTTAATGAATTTTTCAATGATGGTGGTGATATTGAATACAAGATTAATTTAAAAAAATTAATAATTAATGGATTTAATTATATTATAGATAGAGAAACCAACGGTACTCATTTTTATGAGAATGTATACGATTAGATTTCAATAAACACATAGGAATATTTTTTGTTTTTGCATTCATGACGACAGGAAATTAACAGGTATATTGGTGATTTTACATTGCATAAATGAACAATTTTGTTGATTAGTAATCAGTACTGATTAGTTTTTATTATTATTTGTGATTTAGTGAAATTTGTTTGATTTTTGTACTGATTTCAAGAAGTGTTGACTTCTCCAAGCACTTAATTATTTAAAAAGTACATGATGGAGATTTATTTGATTATTTTTTTTACCTCACTTCGAAGCTGCCACTTCTCCAGATTGATATATATGGTAATAATAGAGTTCTTGGACTACCTTGTCATAAAGACAAGAAAACCTTACGGAGGAAACTCCGAAACTAAAATGCAAACTACAATGGGCGCGGTTAGAAAATAGTTATTTTGCATCAATATTCGAGATCAATTTGGTATATACACAAAGAACGAAGAACGAAGAACGAAGAACGAAGAACGAAGAACGAAGAAGAAGAAGAAGAAAAAGAAGAAAAAAAATAATAGTAACTATACAATAAGAACATGTCCTGAATAGTTCAAACGTGGAGGAAATAGGAGTATAGGATCTAGGCAAAAGAGGCAATGACGAAAACTCAATAAATCAAAATTAATTTAAAAGCAATAAATCGAAACACTAAAAGATAATTAGATTTAACGAGAAGTCACAAATCACAAACGAGATATAATTCATTTTGCAGCCAGCTCTCCGTATGGTTAACTTCGTGGGCTTGTACCCTTTTCTACATGTCAACAATAGGTATTAAAGATAAGATCTAGATTGAATAATTTCCAACGTAAAAGTGTGACCACTTAATTGTTGTGAAAATTTTTTTTACTTTTTATTTTTAGAATTAGCATTAATTTGTTTTGTATACTGGCTTTTGCTTATTGTTATTGTTGATATCATATGATTTAAGTAGGTGGACATGATGGAAATTGAAGCCAAATGTAATTTGCACAAATTAAGTTATACATTCGGAGTTTCATTTAGTTTTCCTTTTATGTCGAAGGATAAATGGTTTGTAAACATGATGGATAAATTATGAGATGCAACAATATTGTGTAATACTTCGTGTGTCACTCAGTATAAACCTCAAAACAAAACTAAATAAAAAAAAAAAAAATTCATTGTACTTCATTATGTTTCATTATATTTCATTTTGGCTCAGCTTGACTTGATATTCCTGTTTATACATATTTCCATATTTATGCATCGTTGTTATGTTTCATATAAATAATTCATACTCGCAACGGAAATCTTGCCCTTTATTTGTTCTTGTGACACCTTATACCCTATCAAGATAGATCTATGACAGTTTATCTCCGAAATATGCCATATCCCGTGATTCATCTCGGCATTAAGCACCGTAGAATTTCGTTCAAGCGGAATATTTCACCCATTCGGCATCAGTTCCGGATTCCATATTTTGATTTTAGCGAGATCAAAACAAAGAATGGAAATACCACGCCTGGAGTAGTATGGACAAAACTCCTAGATGAAGAAGTCAAGGCGGTACTAGAAGAATAGTGAATCATATAGAAGAAAAGCAATACAAAATCAATACACAAGCTTTCTCAGTATTAAATCATGCCAGTCATTTGTATCATGTTCTTTTGCAAGTTATTAATATGAAAGTAGTCTTGTTTTTCTTTGTTTGTTTGTTAGTTTGCTGTATGTGATACACGTGGATATACTTGATGTTGCTGATCACTTCTCGATACTCTATTTCGTGCATACATATTAACGATGAGTAGCTAGGTTCACCCACCTTGAACAGTGCACTGAAATTCGTAATGTACATTTATATATATGTATGCACCCACGGATATGTGAGTGTAGTATAATGATTACATACTATTCATGAACTTTATATCCTGAAATATCATGATCCAGTAATTTAATTAAAGGGTATTGACTTCTGTACTTTATTTTTCCATTTTTTCCATTTTTTCCATTTGTCATGACTACACTAGATGATCCATTTCATTCAATTACATTCTGCAATAGCAAATTACAAAAATAGAAGAAATAAGTCTATCCCGATTGGAAAGACTAACCCTTTCTTGAAATTCCATTCTAATTTTAAATTTCTTTCATGATGTGAATCTCAGTTAGTGGACAAGAAACTACCAAACTACCAAGAAATGATGATTTGCGAATAATCCCAAGATCTGATAAATTCATGAGGCGGGGCGGTTGGGGGATTTGAATGTAGATACGAACTTGTACAATACCAAGAATAATAGAAATACTAAAATATATCGCCTTCATCTGATTAGATTCCACTAAGTACTTCAAAACTACCCTACTTACTTTTGACAAGAAAAAGTGAATAAGATGGTACTAAGTGGTTGCGTGGATGGTGAGAGTATACAAAAATGCAATATCTATGCTAGAAACAAAAAAAAAAAAAAAAAGAAAACGAAAGAGACCTCTGGTAATCGAAGTTTAGGACTCAAGATATGCTTGGGTTTGTGGATAAACTATGCAAATGACTATAGTTGAAAAGTAGACTGCTTAATCGAAAGATACTTCAACTAAACACAATGACCAGTGACTAATATAGTTTTTGTGGTTCACCAAAGTAGGAACAAGCAGTGCATCAAGAGCAAGGTATCCTATGAACGGAAGTATGGTTCCATTAAAAGAAAAAAAAAACCTAGGTGCTTAAATGCATGCATTTAGATCTTTATATCGTACAGTTACGTGTTTGAAATTGAACCACAAAGGTATGAAACAAGACCCATTGCAAATGATGAATGAGTAAATGAATTTAGCACACAGAATTGTCATGCGACTGAATGATTTTTTTTTTTCTCTTTTACATCAACTTCATCACATTTTTGGGGGCCAAGTTAAGCCAAGCCACCACCATTAACGCCAGAAGTTCAAATACTAGGAACTATAATAAAGCTAGGCCAGTTGACAATTCAAAACCATTTCGGAACCGGAATAACAAATAAAATGATGATATCGTAGTAACAGCTGGTTGGTATCTATGATTCTTTCTTTCTTTTTTGGTTTTTGTTTTGTTTTAATTTTTTTTTTAATATCCTTTTTAGCAAATAGTTGGCCTGTAGTAATAATTGCATATTAGTGCAATCTAAGGGATTTTCCATATCTCCCCGGAGTTCATCTTAATACTTAGTTAAATGTTCTTTTCTTTTCTTTTCTTTAGCAAGATTGTTCCATCCCCCACTCTCTCTACTCATAGAAGAATTTCGTTTAGAATCATGATAGTTCAATATTAGAATTACACATATTCAATTTCGATATCGGAGTTTCATGACACACAAATATCCATCTACAAATTATTCTTACTTTTGTAGCTCATGGCGTAGATAAAATATATGAAATGATCAGTATTGTACTTTCGACTGATTCTGAACAACAATTTAAAATTCTTAGAAGCTTAGCAGTAGCAAAGATAAGGATAAGACTAGATTCACGGCCACGCATTATAGAAATTTCATACCTTATGGTCCTATATCACTGCTACTAAAAATAAGATGACTATGAATCACAAAATTCGAAACGAAGAGAAAGAAATTTCATCTGCCTCAAATTAAAATGGGCACATAACCAGTGCATGATGTCGTTTATCTTCACCAAAATAAGAGACGGATAAAGAAAAGGGTTGGGAATTATCATGAGGAGTAACAATGAAGTTAATAGTGACTCAAACTTGAACAGGTCAACCTTTTTTATATCAAAAAGAAAGAAATGTTGGGTTATTACTTTAGGTATACAATAGAAGAGGCTTTGAAAAGAAAATTAATTATAATTCTAAAGCACAATTCCGAAATATTCATATTCTAAAAAGTTTTAGCCCTGAAGGAAAATATATATCACAATTGGCACATTCAAAGACTCATTGTATCCAATAAGAAAAGGAGTCAAGAAGTTCATTATTTTTAATATGCTCATTGTTCAATTTGTTTGCAAAATATTAATAATTTACAATGCATTACGAACCAACATGAGATGTAATGTATAATAAATAATTGCTTGTCTTTTCCCTTTTTTTTTTTGTTTTTTAATCTTTCCCCCCCCACTCATCAGAATTATGTGATGATCATGATCATGATCAAGAAAACGGTTGTGCTTAGTTTGCCTATCCTGAATCTTTAACATTATCTGCAACCTTTTATTTGGATTTTGTTTTTAACCTTTCCTAAGCAAGTCCAAAATTTCATTTGTACTTAATCTCGTTTTGTTAAACTTTCGGTTACAGAGTTTTATTCTATTTTTGGTCAATATGTGGAAACTTAAGATAATATCCAACTTCCGTTGTTGTTGTTGTTGTTGTTGTTGTTGTTCATTTGAAACTTTCGTGTATTAATGTTACAAAACCCACTAGTTTATGAATAATGGTGGTTACTAGGATACATTTAAATCGGGAAAATCATGTGTTACAATACGCACATATGAAAAGAACAATGCGATATTGTTTTTAGTTTATGTAGGTGCATACTAAGAATCGTACAAAGCTGCATAATACTTCACTACAAACGTACATCTAGTTATACATAGGTATCACTGACTCACGAATTAAATTATCGTTCCACATATATTCCCATACATGACTTTGTTCCATTATTCATTGATCAACGGAAGGGATAACCACTTCCAACAATCGTATATTGGTTATTCAAATAGGATGTTATAGTTTTTGGTGTGGATAAGGCTCTGGCTAACCTAAGAAGGAACACTAAAAAAAATAGCAATGAATTAGTTTCACAGAGGAACGGAATCCATGAATAATAGATCCTGAATTATAGCCGCCCACGGAATTGTTTTCTGAAAAGGATTCTGAGATTATTGTACAAAAAAAAAAGTATACTTGAGACTTTAACTCCATGCTGATTGAAACAATAAGAATTGGATAGCAGTACATAAAACAATAGGTGTCCTATAGTTCTAAAGAGAGGCTAGACTCTACAATTACGTTTCTAGAGAAAGTGTAGTTTGGAGATTGT